AACAAAGTCTGACATTTTGAAACAACGGCTAATTAGCGCAGTAATACTATAATGCAGCAGCAGCTGTGTGTTTATAAAGTGTTTCACAATATAGTGGCTTTGAACACAGCTCAGCCAATCATAATCAAGGATCGGAAAAAAGTCATGTTGAATTACAGCAAATTACCTGTATCAGGCTGTTCTCAGAATTTTTTTGTATGTTTTCCTATGAAAACCCAAATTTGTGAATAGCCCACATGTTTTAAAAGTCTGTGATCATGTGACCAATGCGCTGATGGCAGTAAACAAGGAAGCAGTCCCAAGTGCTTGTAAGGAGGCTGGTTGGGTGGTGGACTGGTCACAAAAAAACAGACTTTTCCCGGTGACTTTCCCCTGGAATCACATGTTCAGATCTGAGTGAACTTTGAGTTAATGTTAATGTTATTGGTCTCCAAACAGACGATGGCTCTGCCCTGAAGCTGCATATAGCTCAACTCAAGCCCCTGTTTGCTACAAGATAGCTACATCATGATATATGACCAAACAGGGCAGGTCCGACCTGTTTTTGTGGACCACGCTGCAAATAGGCCTATAACTAGATCAGAAAGTAACTAGTAGACTATCAATAACTTACTGGTCACTTAGACAATAAAGGTCCAGATTAATAGAGACATAAACCATTTGGCAATTAGTGCCACCTCCTGATAAAAACAGTAAGCATTATCAAAAGAGCTGGCTAACTTCTCAGTATTTAAATGTCGTATCATATCAAAATACGGAGGGACTATTTGCACACCAGTATAAATAGCCTTGGCCTCTCAGCTGGGTTATTTTCACCCTTGTATGACATGTGACAACAAACTTTGCACGTACAAAAAACCTAACTGACGCAGACTTCCTGTTTCTGTATACTGACACCATATCCCTCAGTGGAAATGAAGCTTTTATCCACTCTTATTTCACAGATAAGAAACAATAAATTGTGAAGACAGTAAAGCCTCCACTAAAATAGCATTTTAAGTCTCGTGTTTGATTTATCCTTCAGGGATTTATACTTCCAGATTTATCCAGGTTTCATATGAGAAGAGATAATCTCTGCTCGTCGCTAGGCTAATTTATACAATGTAAAATGCTATAGGCTTGTGCTAATAACGTTAGCATTTTGTATTTGTTTGGAAAATGTCTATAGTATGACAGTTGTTTGTCGGTGAATCTTGTGAGTTGTAATGGAGCCAAATTGTGTGCCGTTACCTTTGTTAAATGTCGCTGTTGTCCTTGGTTTTATATGAGAAGAGGAAAAGATTGCCGGCCACCAGGCTACAATGTAAAATGCCATAGGTTTGTGCTAATAACATTTGCATGTTATATTTGTATGGAAAAAGTTTTCATAACAGGACAGTTATTTTGTCAGTGAACTTGTGAGTTGTCTGAAAAATTAAGCTAGCCTACACAGTGTCTGTCTCTCGATTTTGGTGGGGAAAATGAACTTTACAAGCTATCTGAGGAAGAATACATCAACCAGTATATCAAATTTTAGCTGGTTAATAGTGCAACACATTACCGATTGATTCTGGCAGGTTTTGTTAAAATGACAGGTCAGAAACAAGTAGATGGCAATCCCATTCTTCTCCCATAATGACGGACAGAACAATGAACTGTTTGGAGACCATTAACAAGGGAAACAAACACACAAATTGAAATTAAAAATTGAAGCCTGCTTTTTAATTTTGTGAAAGCAATTCTCACTCAAAGTTGAAACAACAAAGATATGAATATAGATTATATGGTTATAGAGTAATTTGCTGTGCCAGTCTCATTAACGTCAACAGAAGTGGCACCAAAGTTTGGCTCCAATGCAAAATTTGAACGCTGTCACTGACATCATATCCTTTCCTTCTTTTATAGTTTTCTTGAGTATAAAACATTAAAATAATTTCATCACAGAACAAACAAACAAAAAACAGACAAATGTAAAATAAAAAAAACTGGAGCTATATGTTTTATAAAATGTAGTCTAGCACTAGCTGTCCTCTATACAACTCACATGTGCTAGCAAAAGGCTACCTTTAAGTAAGAAGGGAGGACAAATAATTGTGACTAACAGCAGGTTCACCGTGTGTTGCTCATGTCCAGGACAAGATGATCTCCAGATATTGCTCTTCTTTCCCGTACAAAACCTAGTTTTCTTCCACAAAAGTAATAAAAGTAACATTAAAAAAATAAAAAAATAAACCTATCCAAATGTCTACACCATACTGTACCTAGATGCCCGAACAACCCACAGATTTAGAGGCTGTGCTGTAGGCTGTGAGACAGTAAATGAAGATATATGCAGGTTCAAATTGATATAACGTGTATGTAATCAGAAACGGATAAACAATTACATAAGAGAGAAAAATCCTACTTTAAAAACTACTTAAGGTCTTTCTTTCTGCAGTTCTTTAGAGAATTGTGCACATCTTAATTGTGCACCACAGCAGTTTAATGACTGGCTGGTGCTGAATGATCTCCTGAGGCACAACAGACATGTTAGTAATATTCTCCCAGTATCTGCCCTCAAATAAACCCAGTCACCATTCTTCAAAAGAAGCAATACAATCATATTGTTGCTGTGATTACATAACTGAGACATAGTAAATTGTTCCTCTCTGCCCACTGTGTGAATTACACTGATACTTTTACGGTTGTGGGGAGGAATTGAACTGATATTATATAGAGCTGCTTGTCAAACCATTTTAAAATTGAACTCTTTAACGTTCACATAGATGACAAGTACTTTCAGTCACTGTGAAAGATGTTCTCTGATATGAAACACAAGTGCAATATGTTGTCCGGCCTGTTTATGTTTAGTTTTATTGACCCATTTGTCTTTGGCTCTAGGACTCAGGGCAGTGCTGTTGCTGCAATATTATTTAGCAGCACCACTTTTCAAAATTGGCAAGTCCTTTGGCAGAGGACTGCAGAATGTCAGCAGAGCTCTTGAGTCAAGAATTTAGAGCTTTCTGCATGTAGGCAAGCATCAAAGCTTGTTCATCCCATTTATTAGTCTTTATATTGTCATCTCTGTGTCTTTTCTGCTTTTAGGTTCCATGAAAATGTCTGTTTAAAACTGATTTTATTTGATAGGATCTATATAAAGTGTGTGTATTTTAGCTTGTGCAAAAATTTGAGCTACACCCATTAATACACAGTGTAGCTGTGATGATGACTGACAGCTAATGATATGTAATGTTGCTTCAACACCTTAAAAAGGCCCTTGAGACCAACTGCATGGGAAATTCAAAAATATAAAATCTTCCATTATGGTGAAAGAGTAGGCTACTGTACCAGTTTAGCATTGTAATCTTATAACATTGTCAGTGCCAGAGATTTTGTCTCCTTTTTTGTACACACATTATTCTTCCTTGTCAACTGCTGATAGTTTGGCCTGAGATTCAAGTGTGTTATGCTTGAAGCGTCTAATGGTGCCTTTAGCTGAAAGAAAAGATAAGAAGTCTGGTTTTATCTTTCTAACTCCACACCCCAGATTTTTTTTCATTTTCAAACTTCTTCAGCCCCAGTAGACACTAAAATTTTCAGACTGCATGCAGCTCCCTCTGGAGCCACAGAAGGCTTTATACAGCTTTTTTTCCACATGGTTGGCTACAGTAATACTCTCCTAGACCTGTAAACAGACTCTGATGTGTAAAATCATTGGAGTTTCCTTTTAAAGGAATACTTTGGCCACAAAATGACCATTTGTATATCAGTAACTCACCACATTACCTTGAATTCATGAAGAATTGATTTTTTTTTTTGCCTCCATGGTGAATCCAAACAGGGAGAGCATTCCTCATAAAGTGAAGTAAACACAGACCATGAAAACTTTTTTCTTCAGTGATCTGATTGGTCAGAGGTCAGGGTGTCGACAGGCTGTGATCTGATACTCTGAAGTTTACCTGCTCCGGAGCAGGTTAGCTGTTCAGCATAAGTTAACATGGTGATTTATCACAGTAAAAAGAGAACCAGCTCTGTGGTACTGAAAACCCAGAGTTAACCCTGAAGTTACCTCGCTAACTCCAAATCCTGCTTCGTAGTATAGGCCTCAGGAGTTGCGTTAGTGTTTGTAAACAACTGTCTTAAATATATAATTGCTGTTGTTAAACATGGACCCCAATGACGTTAATTTATGAAAACTGTTTGCCTTTTGGGGGTTTTTCAGTCATCGTGGAGGCATGTGAGAGAAACAAAATTTACTTCATGAATTCAAGGTGAGTAACTGATATGCAAATGGTAATTTTACGGAAGTATTCCTCTCAGTTACATCAAGATTTTGGGCTATTATCTGAACATTGCAGCTCAGTTTGCATGCATACGTTGTTATCATTTTCAAAAAAAATAACAGCAAAAAAAAAACGCTCACTAACAGTAGTTAAATATACCTTGGTGGCAGAACTGTGCTACCTACATGAGGCTACAAAGCTCTTAAGGCTGCTATGGACCCGCATTTCCCTGTAGTACCATTGTTGCAAGAATTTCATTTCCAGCTGATATTATTTCATCTCAGGAGTGTTTTAATTAAAGCATCAAAGTATATTGCACTCAAAAGGTAATATGACAATCTTTGCTTGGCTTACTGCTCAAATACACTGTTTATACAGTCCTTTTCATAATCTTTTTTCCTAAGTCCTCTAAATCTCATATTCCCCTTGCATTGATTATTTATGAAAGCTTTAGTGAAACCATCCACAGTCTTGCTGTAGTTTGCTTTTTATGTCCATGCACCTGCGTGCTCATGGTTTTGTGCATGTGTGCAGCACATGAACATTTTGAGTGTGACTCACGCTTCATTGCAGCCTTTCGTCATGTCATTGTTTTACTCTGAAACCTTTTATGGAGTTCAGATTGTTTGGGGATTTGGAGACCGTCAGCACAATTGGCAAAGGCATAATGAATGTTTCTCTATTTAGTAGCTAGTTTTGCACTTGTGAAAAGGTTTAGATGCACTGAAGCTGTACTTCTTGGCTGAAAATGTCCTTTATTTCATTCGTTAAATGTACAAAGGGAAGTTTAGCATTCAGAATTAAACAAAGCTCTGGATAAATGAACAGATTTACAGATGAATAAACAATCAATAAATTCTGATTTATTTTTGCATTTCAAAATGATTCCATTCAAAAATTTGTTTTATATATTGCACATTTAGTCTGAGGAGAAGCAGGTAAGAGGGATGATTGATGGGGAAATGTATCAACTGGAACTCATAGTGCATTTATCATAACAGTGCAACAGAATCCCATATGGAAAATAGATAAAGAAAATTGTGCCATATATTTTATGCAGGCATTTTGACAACAAAATTACATTAACTTTCAAAAGTGAAATAAAGAATTCCTTTGGGACGATAGTAGCTGAAGGTCACAGAGATCAGGGGCAAACTTGAGTACAAAATCATGTTTATAAGCTTGACAATGTGCAGGAGAGAGGAACTCTACTGGGTAAGAGTTTAATTCAGAGTAATCTCCTTCTATGGGTATGAAGGGAATAGTAAGAGTCCTCTGCAAAGGCTTCTGCTGGTCACTTGTAACACAGGCTTATGGCTATTAAACAGCACACAGGTTGAGATGTTTACACTTGCTGAATTTTCCTGGGCAACCATTTGAACAGGGTCTTGCACAGCTTTTTGCTCCTCACCTTTGACTTTGTTAGGTTCTTAATGATGACATTTCTGAGCAGGCTGAAGTTCATTGGCTGGGATAGGTGCACGGAGAAAGCGTTGTTTCCTCTTGCTGAGCGATTCAGAACCTCCAAGAAGCGTTTCTCCTGCTGCCTGAAGTCATACTCCACACTGGACAGACAGACATGCAGCCCAGAATTACCAAAACCCCAAAACACAGATGTGAAACAACACAAAATGTATCAGCTCTTGCCAAAGGATGCAAATGAATGGTGTCAGATCTGCATTACGAGCTTATCTTTCTATTATGCACCACGCTTTTGTAGCTACAGTTCACTCTGTGGGAAGCTCTATGCTTGTCAGATTTCAAAGTGTTTGATTGGTTCAGGCAGGAAGATATTCCCCGCCGGGGTATCCTTTTTTCTGAAGGTGCAGACATCTTGTTCAAATTTCCTTATCTTCCACTTGGCCTTTAAGGACCACTTGCCGACACACACCAGTCAGCAAATCAACTTACGTAACATCTTTTTGTCATGCAAAATCAGTTTTGAAAATAAGTGGATCAAGAGGGACGTTTTAAATATTTCAAGATAAAGACTGTTTTAGGTTTTGCTTTGGAGAGCAGGAGGCATTTCTTCCCCAAAAAAATGATGAGAAGACTTATATTCCTTAGCCTCTCTTAGCCTCTTTAAACACAGTATTTCTGGGACAATTGTTTTTTATTTTTGTATTGCCTCCAACTGATGCAACATTTCCGCTAATGGGTGCAAACGAACATCAAAGTTGGAATATTAGAGCAAACCGCTATTGCATGATAATTAGTGTATTAGGTGTATGAAGAAGTTATGTATGAAGCACTACCTTCAACCAAATGTTACCTAAAATTGCTGCAGGGTGTGAAAATATGAAAATGCCAAATGTCTCACTTTAAAATCTACTTTGAATAAATGTACCCACCTCTTACAACTAACCTAACCTACTAAAATATTTTATTTCTACATGACATGGAATTACCTTGTATGCAAATTAACAATACTAACATGACTTCAGTAAAGTGATCATTATAAATCTTTCTAAATCCATCATGCAGGCTGCTTGGGTGTGACTTCCTCTTTGCTAATTTGAATTTCTGAGAGTGTATCTCAATCTCCATAAATCTGCTGTGGGGATAGATTGAGTCACATACAGTCAGTGCTTAAATCTGACACTTGTTCCAAAAGATTGATGGTTTGCTCAGAGAGGAAAATGTAATCTCCCTATGTATTCTGAGCGAGAAACAAATGAGCAGCGCCGAGCCTTTCATTTGGTAAGCTGCCCATACAGTAAGTCATTAATTTTCAGTGAAGTGAAGTGGGCAGGCTGGTGGAGAACTGTTTGGCAACTGAAATGGCAAATGGGCTCAATCTTGTTGAACTGTGTGTCTTAAGCATAAAGGAAACTTTAAATAAAACCTGTATTTTGAAATTGCCCTTGGGTAAAGTGATGCATGGTCCCACTGCTGTGCATATACTAGTGTTAAAGTAAAGTTATTCTAAAGTTATTGAAATTCATGTTATGTTACATTTTTTACTTTTGGCAGATGCTATTTGCAACCAGGTGTCGTAGCCAACAATGATATTCACACCCAGGGTGGAAGTAGTCACTTAATATTTACACATTTATGTTAACATGGATGGGTCTATTCAGCTATTCTGCTAAAGTTGATTTACACAGTGTGCATTATACATCCTGAAAATGAAAATAATAAGTCAGCTAAGTCTTAAAACAATAAGCCAGCAAAGACCCACACAGGACTCAACTCCCTGTGTGGAAGTCCAGTGCTTAACCCATCTCCCACCCACCACATCTTACTTCCACCATGGACCCTGTCACTCTTTAAATGGCACCTGCTTACTCTCTGGTAGTGCATTTGCGTTTTTTGAGTTTTTTCTCATAATTTTAATACTTAAATTTTAGCGAACATCTGATGATATTAGCTAATACTAGCCCTAACCATGACCTCTGTGCACTAAACGTGACAACCAGCACTAGCCATTCACAGCACATAGTGGCATCCATAATGAGTGGTCAAAGGGATTGGTGTAAATAAGAGGTCTGCATTGTGACTGTTCTCATCCAGGTGCATATAGATACTCTTTTTATTTTTTGCCTAAGTCAAGGTAGTAATGACAATATATATTTAGGGGGAAACATCTCCCCTAGTACTCAAATATGCTCAAAATGTACATGTTCTCATCCCAGCTCGTCAAATATCACTGCTTTATCTGTGGACTTTCATATCTATATATTACACACTAGGTATCCTCCTGTGTCTGCTGTTGAAGTTGAGGAAAGTCATGTCAATTTATGCTTGTTACATGCATTGTGTCTTTTCAAAATACAAAAAAACTCAAAAAAACAGGGATGCATGAGAATAGCACATCATCAATATCTGCTGATATTTGCTTTAAAATTAACTGTCAGAATCAGCCAATATGCTTTTTCTTATTTTTCACAATGAATGAATATTATATACATTGTAAAGTATTGTATTTCATGTCTCCATCTGCTGGTGGGCCATCATGGTAAGTATGCATGCATAAAATGATGTTAATTCCGCTGCAGAAGAGACATGATGATCACTAAAATTAGGTAGGGATAAAGGGGATGTATATCAATTAGAGCTTAGATCGGGCCCAAAAAACCCAGCCCGACCCCAAACGAGCCTGTACATGTTCTGTCCGAGCCCGGCCCGTCCCTTTAACTGTAATTATGAGCCCGAGCACGGTTTAAACCCGACATTTTTGTAAGGATACGAACGTGGACATTGAAGGCTGACTCTCGTCTTTCTTTCTGTGGCAAGCCTTCGTCATGTGCCTCTTAAGTGTCGAGGTCCCCCTCTTTTTTGCTGTCATATACCAGCATCGTGCTGCACTTGGTATACTCGACGAATCAAACCGTCAACAACTCACATGCACGCGGCCAGTGGCGCCGTCAGGGGGGCCCGTGGCCCCCTTCCCAGGTGTGATAAGTAGTTGGTTCCATAGCCTAGTGGTGTGTCTCAAATCACATACTTCCCTTAGTACACTTCCATGTAGTAGCTTATACTATGTGCACTATGTACTCATTAGTGTAGTGAGCGAATGTCGGGCAGTGTTGTCTCAAACCAAACACGTCCGTTGTGCACTCACCGGAAATAACGACCGAAAATTAGCTAGTAAGCAAACTAGCATTAGCATTCGCGTTATCGTTCGCGGTACCAAATAACTACAGACTGCTACTTTAACCCAATAAACATACTGCTGGCTTATACCCAACAACAGTATAATGGTGCTTAGTGCAAAAAACACATGCATTTGTACAATGCAGCGACATTGACGGTCGCACAGTCCACGTCCGTTATTTCCAGTTTGAAAAGTGGTCCCTCCCCTTCCGCTATGTAGCCAAGATGGCGACCATTGATGGTGAGAAGTGTCCATAGTTCCACACTCAACTTCTTGCACCATCCAGGTACTCATAGTGCACTGCATTTTTCCATACTTCTAAGTGTGAACGCGCTTATGCACTCAAAATATTAAGTGTAAGTACAGAAGTACGCAATTTGAGACACAGTCTAGGTCTATTATGAGGAGCCCGACCAATCCGAGCCCAAGGATAGTGGCGGGAAATTATGGCTGGGTCAGGCCGAGAATCTAAGCTCTAATATCAATAGTGGTATCGGTTATCGGCCAAATGAGTTGTTATATATCGGCATATCGGATATGGGCAAAAAAATCCAATATCATGCATCCCTAGAAGGAAACATCATGGCTTAGCTTAAAATAAGGACAGTTATGTAACGTCATATAACATCACTTGACACATGTCATGTACGTATGTCACTTCTGTAGCATGCTACTCATAGTAGCACACTGTGTTGTTATAAAAATGACTTCTGTGACTTTTGGTTTCACACAGGAAGCAAACAGCAGTCTCCCGTGTGAAAGTCCGGGCTTTGTTGGACCCATCTGCTTCCCCTCCGGCCCACTCTATACAAAACTGCCGCCATCCAGTGCATTTAATAACACCACGAAAGGTGCCTTGGTGTGTTGGTATCTTATGCGGAAGTCCACTGACATAGTGCTGGTATTTGACGACTTTGGTTGGTGGCTGCTGCATCAACAACTGCCGCCACCTGATAAATCTAATGCCCAGATCACTGACAAAGCAGCGGTATTTGACCAGATCGTAATGAGAATGGGCTGAAATGTAAAATATGTGGATAAAACTATATATATATTCTTTTTTAATCACTATAAATGGCAACCATGCACCGCTGTCTGGAAAAATCATGAGCAAATGTAATAATAAACATAAACAAACTTAACAAATAGCCATTATTATTACTACTGGTTCTGGTATTATGGTGTACTGCATTTCCTTGGTGGGTTGTCCAAGTGGTGTTGCTGTACCCCAGCAGAAGCTGTTGGTTGGCTGCTGTAGTTAAGTACAATCAATGTCAAACACTGTACTGTGTCTCTATTCCATTACTTTCAAATGTATTGTCATATCACTGTTGATTATGATGACGATGAAAATGATGTGATGTTATGAAAATAATTTTATGAATTGTTATCGTCTCAGTAGTAGTTTCCATTTACCGCATATTTGTACAGAATGCTGTATGGCTGTACTTGCTTATGATGAAGGATTTAATATAACGGGAAATGAGTTTTCAAATTTTGCAATTTTTTTCGCTTCATCATTTGGCTACGGCCTTGGCCAAAGAAATATAAGCACTCATGGCAGTTCATAATAAGTCTATTAAACGGAGTGTCGTTCTAAAATATTGATTTCATTTTTAATTACTTTCTTAATATCCTTCTGAAAATTTCCCATGTCTCAATATCTGAAGCCCAGACAATGTCTTAAATTCATTTAAATGAAGTCGTCCTGCTCCTGCCTATAATCCAAACCAACACAAAGTGATATCATTCTATATATCCATTAATATGGTGCATATTTGGGCAAGAGCTGAATTCTAGAGCTGCTCTGATCACTCACCAGTTCAAACACTGCATACAGGTAAAATTAATTCACTGTTATCTCACCTGTAGACAATACAAGCAGTCTTCTGGCAGGTTGAGCAGTTTTTGAGGTCCTGTCCAGTTTTGTAGCATCGCCGACTAAGTTAAAACAAAAAAGTAAATTGAATTGCAAACAGTAAATTTGAGCAACTTCTAAAACTCTCATCGTTTTCAGATTTACAATTTAATATTCTTTCCACTCACCCTCTCTGTCTGATATTCACTCAGACTACTGTTGGCAGCGTTGAGCCGTATAACATGCATTATGTCAGACATCAGTGGGTTATTAGGAGTTGGTTATTCTGAAACATGACCTCAGAGGCAGTCACAACTTATTAGCACACTACAGTGAATGAGAATGATTGACAGAGACACATTGCCAGAAGGCGGTTTTAATTCCTGTTATTTGTCCCAGAAGACTTATGTGGCTAAATAAATCTCTCCGAGATGTGCCCTCTTGAAATGCCCAAGTAGGTTTCTGTCACACACAGGCGCACGTTCACGGACCTGTTTGCAAACTTGTAACGATATAAAGGCTTCACATCATCACGCTACAATCTCTGATTTATAGCACCGTTACAGTGGCCACAGAGCCAGCTTCATGACACCTTAACAGCATGCTCCAAATGTATTTGTGCAACGTCTCACATCATGGTGCTTGTAATAAATTATTCATAAATTATATATTTATTTCCATTTGTGGGTATGAGTTCAATGTCAGTAGAAAGTCAATGCTCATCAATGTGGCACTTCATAATTTACTGCATCCAAAATAATTCTAGAACATGAACCATATCTTTTCCAAATTAGGTTTATTTTGTATAAACCAATTGCATTATAGATGCTTTTCTTCAGACAGGACAGGGTGAGCAAATATCTGACACTGCCATAATATGTATATATAATGTTTAATTTTTATATCACATTAGTCGCCCTTAGCAAGCTTCCCTGCTGCCCTCCCCCACTCCAAAAAGATTATTAATATTAATATTCATTGTTATGTGTTATATTTATTGTATTTATTGTATTTATTACAAACAAGAACAAGAGCTTTTAAGAAATTAACACAAACAACTTAGCTAACACACAATAATAACAAAATATAAACAATAACAGAATATGATATGGGCAAATTTGCAAAAAGCCCTGGAAGGCTTTTGCCTTTTCATCTTCTCTTAAACTAATGCTCCCCACACACACCTTATGTTTGATTTTTGCCCCCTGGGTGTCACCCTATGTCACCTACAGTATAGGGAGATCCACCACTGAATAAAAGAGATATCTGTGCTGTATCTGTTGATTTAAAATATGTATGTGTTTTTTTTTTGTTGTAAACAGTGTATTGCCATCAATGACCAATTGTTTTTCCACTAAACTATGAATGAATATGAATAATCATACATATAATTACACAAACACACATACAGACGTTTTTTTAGATTGGAGATCAATGCAGTTTGCTGATAAATTCCAAATCCACTGAGTGGTTCCAGTAAATGCAAGTGATGACTCACTAGAAAGTCAAAGATCAGCACTGCAGGACAGCTTTTAAAGTAATTCCCTTGACCATATTCTGGCAAAGTGCTATAATATACCTGTATCAGACTGAATGTGGAGTATATCAATAATTCAGTCATAACTGACCCTGCAGGTTTTGTATTTTCGTTACACTATAAGTGAAATGCTTAATGTTTAATAAGCATCAGAGAATAATGCTGTCGCAAGTCTTTATGTATCACAAGTAAAGCATTACACTAGAGAAGTCATTTCACCTCCCTTACCCACATACATATGCAGACACACAGACCCTCATGCATCCTCTTACCCGCTGGTGGGAGTGTGGCACGTCTCCAGGTCATGGATAATGTTAAGCAGAGTGGTGATCCTGTCCTTGTTGGCTGCCAGGCTGGCCTCCACAGTCTCGAGCCTCTGCTGTAGGGCTGCTGATTTGCAGCACTGTGGGGAAGGAGGCAGCAACAGAGATGCAGCAGCTGGGTGGGAGTGAGCCAGGCTGGTGTCCTCTGGGCACGGCTGAGGGGGAGCAGGGCTAAACTTTGAATCCGGTCTGACGATTGCCTCTGCCTCGCAGGACCGGAGGCGGGGAAGGGATGCCAAGTGCATTGTTGATGATGGCAATATGGAATTACATTCAGGGCCTGTGTGCATACAGAGCTCTCGCTCACTGTTAAAAGGGGCTGGTGCAGTGAAAGAAAGCTCTGAACCTGTGTGTACCTGCGGTAATGAAGAAGTATCTGAATCAGAGTTTTGGTGGACTGAAGGTTCGGTGACAGGGTTGACATGTGTACTGGTGTTTTTCAGTGATGAGATAGTGGGCTCACAGTTTGTTCGTGCTGTGGCAGAGTAGCTTGGAAGTGTCTGTTCATCTGCATTGCATTTAAGATTAATATTAGCATGCCTGACTGATACACCCAAGGCAAACTGTTTTGTATTTGTATCCATCTCCAGGGTTGTTTTTACTGGTGGGCATGCAGCAAAGTGTCCCTCATGTTCTGTTTTTGTGTATCCTTGATAATGTGCGAGCCTTTGTTGTTTCGTGTTTATGCAACCCTGCAGACAAGAGCTGCTTGATTTAATTAGGGAAATGTAATTCTGAAGGTTGGTGACCTGGGACAGATTTGAATTTTCATGGTCATTTGACTCATGCACAACTAATTCATTGATTAGATTACCATTGAATTTGTTTTCATCAGTATATGATTCAGTATAGGGACTAATGTTTGATGCAGGATTGTGGATGCTTGCATCGCTGCCTCTGTTGAGATATTTTGACACATTTAACGGCTCAGATAATAAAACTGGAGTTGTTGTGGAGTTGTTTTCCTGATTGGAAACAACACCGCACACACCAGACTCATTACCGGTTTGAGCTCTGCTGTCTGTTCCTTGTGTGCGCTCAGGTTGATTTACGTGAAGCGCTTCTTTATGACTTAGATCTTTGTGATGTTGCTTTGTGTCTGCTGATTGAAGAGAAGTTGTACCTGAAACACAGACGTTACTTTGGTTTCCTGTCAATGTAGATGAAGAAGTGGAGGCTGTGGGTGGTGGATTTTTCAGGTTGATGGAGGAGTACTTGAGGGCTTTATTTCTGTATAGAGTGCTGCTGCATGTAAATGCAGAGCTGGGAGCTGCACTTGAAGGCAACCTAGCTCTTGAGTCTGGGGGTTTTGCTGCATTTGGTGTTGTGTTTAGAGACGCTGTAGAAACATGAAGTGTAGGTTCAGATTTTGAGGAGTTACGTTGAATTAGGTGAATTTGTGAGGCTACTGAATTATGTTTAGTGCTGGTATATGTAAATCGGTCTGAATTAGAGCTATGATTCAAAGTGCTCTGCGAGATGACAGTATTCATTACAGTGTCAATAAAAGATGCTTTACCTGGAGATTTGCTGTCGACGTTTGATGAGGGCTTTACTGGTTGTGTATTACCTGGATCCGATGTGGTACATGGTGGACTTGCATGTGTAGGTTGTGCAGTTATTTTTGGTTTATGGTTTTGGTCTGATGCATTGGCTGCCAGTGATGAGGTGGGACATTTAGGGGTCATTCTCGGACTATTTATTGCTATGTTTACTATTGCTGCAGGTTGAGCATTGGCAACTTTTGCGGGTATGCTTTCAGTGGACATCAGTGCAGTATGAAAGGTTGTGGTTGTTCTGCATGTGTTGGCAGTGAATGTGTTTCCTGCAGCGTGTGAACAGGAAGGTGGCGACAGAGTATTTTCAGGTGTAGGGTGCACAGATACACATACACTTTGAGGCACGTTATGTTGCGTAGAGTTGTGTCGTAATGATTTGAGGTGCTTAGGATAAGTGTGTGAATGAGGGTTGTTTGGTTTGGTAGCTGTGGCCATCTGTGGAGTCAACATTAGACTTGTTGGTCGGGGGATCTTACCGTCCTGTGATGGTTTTGCTGAAGATTTTATATTGGCATCCTCATGTTTTGTTTCAATAGTTGCTTTAGTTACAGTGATGGTTTTAGCATGTAGGATGGTTGTGTGTTGAGGGGATGTTGCATCACCGGCAGCATGTGTCTGTGACAAATTGACCAAATTCCCCCTAGAGTGCACTGGGCATGCTGGGTGTGGTGTTTTTCCATACTTTAGCTCTTCCCTAAAATATAACAGTTGTGGGTTATTGGGTGTCCTTTTGTCTCTGTCTGTGATGCTCTCAGAGTTTTCAAGAAGGCTTGACTTCAGGCTTTTCTCAACATGGGGCATCTGGACATGCGTGGTAGTGGAGAGCGAGGTGAGGACTGACTTTGATGGTTTCTCTTCAAGGCGAGCGTCAGGAGTAGAGCTTTTCTCCCCCGATGTCACAACTCCGGTGGCTGCAGACTGTCTGCCACCACAATTGCTGCATATTTTTTGTGTCATACCGAAAGGTCGGGCAGCAGATAACAGCAGTGTCTTCCCACACCGCTCTGCATAATGACCTTGCAGTCTGGTTTGGTCTCTTCCACAAGAGTTTGCACTCTTAACAGGCTCTACTTCATCGCTGTGAACACTTATTCCACCAATGGCATCTGAATCAACCACGCTGCCATTCGTGTAGCGGGCAGCAGATTTCGATTTAGGCTTGACATTGGTTACATTCCCTGCAAAGTGTGGGTTGGTCTTGATTGCCCTGGCATAGCAATAAGTCCCACAGCTGCTCCTCTGACTGCAGGCCACATCCTCAGAGGCCTCACCTCCAAGTGCTCTGAAAGTCACTTCCTTTTTGGTCTTGGATTCCCCACTTTTCTGTTTTAAAATAGCCCTTTTCTCCTTGTCACTCTTTGTTAGCAGTAATACCTCCTTGTACTCAGTTTCCTTGGTAATATAGCTGCTGGATGTTTGAGCAATGTTATCTGATGGTGTCGAGAGCGTATCAGTTAGCTGCACGCTGTGCTGGGTGGATGGTCTGCTGATCCCAGGGGACGTCTGAACACCAACGCTGCACTGAGGTCCCCATGTCTGCAGCAGGGCTCCTCCGGTTCTGTCTCCTCCTGTTGTCCTCCAACCACGCACTCCAACCAGGGCAGGGACACCTAAAACTGGAACCGGAGTTGTCAGGTCAGCCGCTCGTCTCCCCATCCTTTGTTTGGCTGACTCAAAACTCTGATAACTCGAGAGAGCGGCAGCGTTTCCACACCATTACATCCGTCTAAAAGTAAGAGAGGAACAAGTTCACAGTGAGAGGCATTTGAGGTGCTGTGAGAGAAAACCATGAGTAAGCAGGACGGGTTGAAACAATGCACAGAGCTAGAACTGAGACATAGAACTGCTTCAGCGCTGCAGAAATGAAGGATAACTAGAGTTGTCAAAAAATCAATTGCGGATTCGAGATAAGACAGGGAGAATTATCCTCTCACTTTAAACTTTCCTGACATGGTGTGGCTGGATAGGAAATAGGAATGGCAAGGTGTTAACGCTAATAATAAGGGGAGGCTGTGGCTGTGAAAACAAGTGTTGTATATTATATTAGCATTTCAAACAAACCGCACAGATCCCCTCTCAATGTCTGACAGCCCAAAGAATAATTTATTTGTGGAATAAAATTCACAACATAGCTCCTGTGGTGAACTCTCTCTCCTCTCCCGTTGAAATGTTTGTCATAGCGAGCAGCTTCCACTCTCTGTTGTCCTCCACATTCAGCTCACCTTGGAAAGAGGCCATAATGTATATACACACTGGTGCTATAGACTTCATTAAGCTTTGTGTGCATTTAACTGGAACACCCTTTCACAGAGGTGGCATTTTGTCTGCGTGTGTGTCCGTGCCACCCATGAATTCGCGTGTGCCCAGTTTTCTTTTGTGTGTGCAAGAGGTCATTTTAATGATTTACGCAACAACAGTTCGGTAGTCAACGACGGGGAGGTAATTTGTGGATTTTTGCATACATTCATGCATTTGATTGTAATATACGTTCAACACAGAGTGTGGATGTGTTTGTTTGTGATTGCAAGCCTTGGTTTATAACAAAAAATCATGCAAACACATTGTGACAAGGCTCCCCTCACTCCTTCCTCTTCCCAAACAGCCTCTATCCAGGGATGTCAAAAAGAACATTTAGTCATGTTTACCTGCAGGGAACATTATTTTGGTTGTCATATCATCTAATGTTCCTCAAGCTTAGTCAAGTGACCTGTGTCTTTTGTTGCCATCTAACACTGTCCTGTCCTGTTAGTACAATAAATAAATCTCCCTTTACATGCTCTTGCAGTGCCACACACTTTTTTAGATGACCAGCACTAAAGAACAGAGCTTTCTCTGGCTTCAGCACAATTGCCACCTAATGTGTTTTTGTGATTGTGTTGAGCAGGCATACCTGAGTGTTTGCTTGATCCTGCTGCAAGATGTCTTGTTGTTGTCTTGAGTCCAAATGTCAGGAGCTAGTTTTCCGCTTTCTGTTTTACGTCCTCATAGATTCCTCAAGGTTTGGACTGACTTTGCCTTCATATTTCAAATCCCTTTGTAGTAGAATGCAAACTCAGAGGAGTCTGCAAGCAGTGCTGAATAAGCCCTCTTTCCTAATGATTCTCAACTAATCTACCTTTTATTGATCAGACATGAAGCCAAACTGTGTCCTCATTGTATCCCCCTTCTCCTCTTGTTTTGGTTTTGCTGCTCCATGCTCACTCCATAATCACAACACAGCAGTATGCTACAGTATGCTGCCCTCCAACACTCTCTGTCCTACTATGTCTTGCCTTTTTTCTTACCTCCTCCTCCTCCTCCTTCTCTCTCCCTCTCCCCCTCTCTTATTTCTGCCACTATCCTCCTCCCCAGCATTCATGTATCCTGATCTACAGCTGGGTGGAGAAAGAAAAAGAGAGCAAGGGAGAAATAGGAGAGAGAGAGAGAGGAAGTGACTTGCATCAGTGGGGTAGGGACTGTGTGTAAATTACCATGCAAGTTAAAAAGCAGGGAAATGCACTGACAACAAATGTACAGCAAATGTAAAAGCAAACAAAGCTTTAAAAATAACAGGGAGAAAATTATTTTACCTCAACTCTGCAGTATTTTTAAACGTGAACATTTACAGTATCTCAAGACTATCACTGCTGTTTCAGTCTCATACTGTTACTGTACACAGGAACCAAACTGAAGCTGGTTTCGCTGCATACAGGACTAAGTAGGCGCAGTGTTTTACACTGGCTGCTGTCTTACCTTTGAGTGCACAGTCTGATGTGGTAATGATGTGTGACAGGGCAAAGGCAGGCAGTTTTTAATGCATTTTGTACATTAACCATTTAGCTACTAAATTTCTCAGACCAACGCTGCTTTTTGGGACAAGTCTCTCTTGGGGAAGTATATTACATGTTGTACATCAGTCACTTTTAAGTAATTATTAAAATAAATAATATTGCAACTAATGGGGTAAATGAGATAAATAAACAGGCATATTAAAGTCTAAGTCTTCCTAAGCTTGAAAAGTTTTTGTCACATACAGCAAACATCTCCTCACGATCCGCTAGCTGCATGTCCTCTGAATATGCTGTGAAAAAGTTCAGTCTCTGTACGCAGCCCAGGCTCCGCAAATGGCAACAAAAACACTTCACTTCTGTTTACGTTCAACAATGTTATCAGACACGATGGAGCTAGCTCGCCTTTTAGCCTCATTGTAGCCTGTAGCTCTAACTGCCTCTCTGGGCACCGCGTTCACATGTGCACACTTGTGCGAGACCGTGAGACATGGGCACCGCGTTCATGTGTGTGTGCTTGCTTTCTCTGGTCTTGCGCTGGCTGGTTGGTGCAGCCTGGACCACAATGTTTTTGTTGCCATTTGCGGAGCCTGGGCTGCCTACAGAGACCGGACTTTTTCACAGCATATTCAGAGGACATGTAGCTAGCGGTTCGTGAGGAGATGTTTGCTGTATGTGACAAAAACTTTTCAAGCTTAGGAAGACTTAGAGAGCCTTTAAACATGCCATTGATGTTAAAGGGACAGTCCACCCCAGGATCAAAAATACATATTCTTCCTCTAACCTCTAGTGCTATTCATCAATCTACATAGTTTTAGTGCGAGTTGCCGAGTGTTGGAGATATCGGCCATAGAGATGTCTGCCTTCTCTCCAATATAATAGAACTAAATGGCACTTGTCTTGTGGTGCTCAAAGCACCAAAAAATGCATTTGACGAAATCATGACCGGGGGCCTGTATCACGAAGCAAGATCAACCTTTCCTGGGTTACCCAGACCTATCCTGGGTTGACTAACCCTAACAATGGCAATCAGGATAATCGGTATCGCGATGCTGGATATCAACTCGGTAACTCAACCCAGGGTTGCTTTATCAAGAGCCGTGAACGTGCACGCAACGGACCAATCACAATCATGAGAGAAGCGTAGCGTCACTGAGCGTCCTCCCAGAGTGCCGTATGTGAGGAAAAAGAAAGTATTTCTTGTGAGGATCAGAAATTAATTCTACTAAATATGAGGAGGAGAAAAGCAACATTACAGAAAAGGCCAACACCGTGGCAGCTGCAGGAGGAGAAAACATGCGTGGCAACGCATAACGGGATGAATAATGTTTAGTTTTAGTTTAGATTAGTTTATGTGCACATAATGTTAAAAACAGACAGTATAAAATTTACAAGATTAAAAAAAGAAAAGTGCCGGAGAGGTTAGAAGCCACTAAAAGCTTGTCAAAGAAATTCCCCTGTCAAAACATCAATGAAATCACATAATAGAGAAGACAAAAAAAATGGGTCAGGAAAGAAGAAAGAGAGGAGGAGAGAGGGAAAAATCCAGACAAAACAAGGTAGCAAATAAAATTATGTGTAGGTTAAATTACTCATCACTGGTTCAAGTAGCTACAGTACCTGTACCTGTACATCTGACACTGATGACACCCTTGAATCCCATGAAATCAATGCTGCGCAGATGAATTGCGTGTATTCCAATTATCGTCTAACATCATTGCGTCTGATAAATTGGTCTTCTTTGTAATAACGTTATATATGCTACAATAAAGCTTAAAGCTGACGTCACAATTAAATCATATCAACACCAAATTGATAGTCTGAATAAAATCATCCTGATATTGAGCTAGAGTTGTTAGAAATTAACAGCTGCGCAAAAATATACCTAGTCTCCCTCTTTAAAAAACAAAAAGGAAAATCCCTCAAACACCATGAAGTGTAGACATGATAGGCTACTTTCCACATTTCCAGCAGCAAAGCTGTCTATTAGGCCCATTATCTTTAACAGGGATCATTTCCTCCAACAAAACAAAATGCTGGCACTAATTAATGGTGCTATTAAGTGTCCGCAAATGATCAGTTTCTTTCTTATGAAGGGGTGGGATGAAATTTCGACTTCTTTCCGCTCCTTTTTGAACAATCTTTTCATTGTCTGTTGTTGTTGCTTTCTTTTCTTTTTTAATGTTCAAAATAAACTTTCAAATCAAAATCAATCAAATTAATTAAACTTCCCGTCATGACTGGGCTGCATTTCTGTCAGCGGAGTCATTTTTTTCCAAACAGCTGATTGGCCAGTGGGTGGTTCTTTTTATAGGATCAGATTCAACCCTGAACTTAGCCTGCTCCGGAGCAGGATAGCCGTTCAGAGTAAGTTACCATGGCGATCTACCCCGATAAGAACTGAACCGGCTTTGTGAGACAGAAAACCCAGGGTTAACCCTGAAGTTATCTCGCTAAGACAAAATCCTGCTTCGTGATACAGGCCCCAGGTTACTCAAGATAATCCCCAGACCTTGTTGTGAACAGTTTCATGTAGGAACTATTTTTCTTTTAATAATTGTTGAAGTTTTGAAAGTGAATTTTTTTTTTCTCAAGATTCACAAGCAGGTCCCCCAAATTCTGTAGAAATCGTAGACTGTCTGTTTGAAAGCATGGGCCACAGTCAAATCTGAACACTTTGAGACATTAGCTTCTTCATACAGTAAGCATTTTGCTTCTCTAAGTATTAAATAAATCTCAGTTAGCATGTTCAATATTTTTTTCCTCTCTCATTCCACTTTATTCCACATAATTTGGATAAAATGTTACAATTTCTTTTTAAGAGTAGTTTTTTTAGTTTAATGCCAAAGTCTGGTCCATACTTAATGTGAATCCCTGAATTGGAAATATGTTTAAAGAAAAAATGTTAATGTTTTGAATCCTTATTTCAATTCAGTTCAATTTTATTTTATAAAGCCCAATATCACAAATCACAATTTGCCTCACAGGGCTTTACAGCATACGACATCCCTCTGTCCTTTGGACTCTCACAGCGGATAAGGAAAAACTCCCCAAAAAAACCCCTTTAACGGCGGAAAAAAACAGTAGAAACCTCAGGAAGAGCAACTGAGGAGGGATCCCTCTTCCATCCCCATCCCAGACGTGCAATAGATGTCGTACAGAACAGATGAGCATAATAAATTAACAGTAATCCGTATGACACAGAGAGAGAGAGAGAGAGAGAGAGAGAGAGAGAGAGAGAGAGAGAGAGATGCAGGACAGACGGTAATGACAGTAGTACAATATTAATGAAAGTAATAATATTATAGTTATAGTTCTGGCTATTGTGGTACAATATGTTGAAAATATATATTAATATCTGGCAGTATACATATGTGACAATAATCGTATGTGTATAATAACAGTAGAAGTATGACTAATGACTAATGATGGCAGCAGCAGCAGGAGGCATCTGGCAGGACCACGGCAGCAGCACAACCACACACGTCACACTATCCAGGCACCGCTGCAATATGAGTTAACCTGAGAGACAGTGGAGCACAAAGGCTCCGGAGAAGAAGCCGAGTTAGTGACATCCAGAATGGCCGAGTTAGCAAGATGCAGTAATAGGATATGAGAGAGAGAGAGAGAGAGAGAGAGAGAGAGAAGGTGCCCGGTGTATTATAGGGGGGTCCTCCGGCAGACTAGGCCTAAGTCAGCCTAACTAGGGGCTGGTACAGGGCAAGCCTGAGCCAGCCCTAACTATAAGCTTTATCAAAGAGGAAAGTCTTAAGTCTAGTCTTAAATGTGGAGACGGTGTCTGCCTCCCGGACCGTAACAGGAAGATGATTCCACAGGAGAGGAGCCTGATAGCTGAAGGCTCTGGCTCCTGATCTACTTTTGGAGACTTTAGGGACCACGAGTAACCCTGCGTTCTCAGAGCGCAGTGTTCTGGTGGGATAATATGGCACTATGAGCTCTCTAAGATATGACGGAGCTTGACCATTTAGAGCTTTATAAGTTAACAGTAGGATTTTAAATTCAATTCTGGATTTTACAGGGAGCCAGTGCAGAGAAGCTAAAACAGGAGAAATATGATCTCGTTTCTTAGTTCCTGTTAGTACACGTGCTGCTGCATTCTGAATTAGCTGGAGAGTTTTTAAGGACTTACTAGAGCTACCTGATAATAGAGAGTTACAGTAATCCAGCCTTGAGGTAACAAAAGCGTGGACCAATTTTTCTGCATCTTTTCGGGTCAGGATAGGCCTAATTTTCGCAATATTACGCAGATGAAAAAATGCAGTCCGTGAGGTTTGCTTTAAATGAGAATTAAAAGACAAATCTTGATCAAATATTACTCCGAGGTTTCTTACGGTAGTGCTAGAGGCCAGAGCAATGCCATCTAGAGAAACTATGTCATCAGATAAAGAGTCTCTGAGTTGTTTGGGGCCAAGAACAATAACTTCAGTTTTGTCTGAATTTAACATCAGGAAATTGGTGCTCATCCAAGTTTTTATGTCTTTAAGGCAGTTATGGAGTTTAGTTAATTGATTACTTTCTTCTGGCTTCATCGATAAATACAACTGTGTATCATCCGCATAACAATGGAAATTTATAGAGTGATTTCTAATGATGTTACCTAAAGGAAGCATATATAGAGTAAATAGGATTGGTCCGAGCACAGAACCTTGCGGAACTCCAAAACAAACTTTGGTACGTAAGGATGATTCATTACGAACGTCAACAAATTGAAAACGATCAGATAAATAAGATTTAAACCAGCTTAGTGCTGAACCTTTTAGGCCAATTAAGTGATCCAGTCTCTGCAGTAGAATTTGATGGTCAATAGTGTCAAACGCCGCACTAAGATCTAATAAAACAAGTGCAGAGACGAGTCCTTTGTCTGAAGCAATCAGAAGGTCATTTGTAATTTTAACTAGTGCTGTCTCAGTGCTATGATGCACTCTAAATCCTGACTGAAATTCCTCAAATAAATTATTATCATGAGAAAATCACACAGCTGGTCTGCAACTACTTTCTCAAGGATCTTTGACATAAAGGGAAGATTAGATATTGGTCTATAGTTGGCTAACACCTCTGGATCCAGGGTGGGCTTTTTGGTAGAGGTTTAATTACAGCTACCTTAAAAGACTGTGGTACATAGCCTGTTAATAAGGATATATTGATCATATCTAATTTATGAGTGTTAAGTGAAGGTAAGACCTCCTTAAGTAGCCTAGTTGGAATGGGGTCTAAGAGACACGTTGATGATTTAGATGAAGAAATCCTACTCTGTATGTCAAAAAGGATTTGCTGATCAATGCTTCTGTTTTTATTAACGTGTTACACAGCGTCATAATGTTTATGTAATCAGGTTGTAGACTGATAAATAACACTACAGGTAATAGGACAAAATGTCCATTTTAGATTTTGGGGTGCAATTTCCCTTTAAAGGCAACTTTAAATTACAGTAAGTTAAACACATGTGTGAGGCAATGTCTTTTGCACAGAAATAATTAAAATATGATACCTCAACATTGCAATCCAAAATAATTAACAGCAAAGAGATGCAGAACAAAATTCCTTTCACACCACATTTCCATCAAAAACAAATGACCTGCAGTGCATGAAAAATTCAGTTATCCATTGTGTGACTTTAGGCTAATGTTCTGCACTCTTGATTAGAGTGATCAGCAGTGAAGTAACTGCCCTACCAAACTGTCCCACGGTGAGCTCTGTCACATTAAATTCTTCTTCTCTGCTTTAACAGCAAACAAAAGTATGTTCGAGAACTTGTGAGAAAATAACATTCAGGACTAATTAACGCAACGTCAGTGAAAGTCGTGTTAAACTTCATGATCAAAGCCCTTTTTTTCACCCACTTATTTTGAAATCCCTCACAAAGCCACTGAATGACAGCTATATGTGGCAGTTTGTGGATTTATTGAACCCACTTATGAATCAACATTATAGCCAATGTTTGAGTTTAATTACAGTAACCTTTCCGCTGCAGATTAAAGGGACTATTATAAGTCTGTGCAGAATGGAAGAGTGGCTGTTGAAGAGGAATTTACAAGAACACAGAGAAGGACACAGACAAATGTTTCACTTTATAGACCCATTTAAAGTAGTTAATGCCAGTTATATCTGTCCTAGTTCACTTTTTTATTGGGGTATGTTCAGACGACTTCACTTTCCCACTGATTACTTCACTGGAACACTGCAATTTTTTTTTTTATTTTTTTATTTTTAATTTTTGCTAAGACTCCTCCTGACTCAGCTGCAGACAGAATACAGACTATACGGAAAATCTTGTTATGTTCTCATAGTTTATTGTAGTGGACAACATGTTTATAGAATTTCTACTTCATTTATTGCAAGAGTGAATCCTCTCAAATAGCAGGTAGTTTACAAAATGTGACAATGGTTATCAGTAATTAATAAAATGTACTGTTACTGTGCTGGATGCCTGGGTGTGCTGAGTTCAGTAGATTGCACTCATATTCCATCACTGCAGCCCTGGGGAACATGAGGCTGACTTTGTGAATAGGAAATTGTTCCATAGCCCCGAGGTGATTACACAATATTGTATCAGTGAAAATGCCTGTGCCATGATAACAAGGCACAACAGTTTTACTGTCATTGTAAGATTTTTTATGTTCTGCATTTATTCATCCTAATAGTTTGTTCTTCCTAGGAGAAGTGTATAAATATTAGTTATCCTCTTTATCTGACCCGAATCCATGAGGATTAGCAATATGTACTGTATCAACAGTAGTGTCAGTGGGCTGATGAGTGGCTTAAGTCCAGGTGACACTAAGAACACCAGATGATTGCAGGTTAATTAAGGGCCACCAGGAAGTTGTGGCAAATATAATCAACCAGGGGATGTGTAAGGCAGAAATTGTCCGTAGTAGGATGAGCTGTCTCATGCCTGCACACTGATACTGTACATGTTCACGTATAACACTAATTGCAGTTGCTTGACATTTTAAGACAGCAAAGCCTTGAAAAGAAATGGTTAGGATCTTTTGAAGTGGGATTTCATGAGGTACTTATCCATAGTTTGTATATTATTAAATACAGTAGATGTCAGTCACTAGTTTAGAGAAGCACACAGGAGTACTGCCAAGAAAGCTAAGCAATGCACTGCTGTAAATGGTGGCAACAGCAAAATGTATTTTAGCCACCTAAAAATATCAATATTAAATTAAATGTATGATATATTTTTTCATTTATTCATTCATTTTCCATAACTGCTTATCCTGTTAGGGGTCACGGGGGAGCTGGAGCCCATCCCAGCTGACACTGGGCGAGAGGTGAGGTACACCATGGACAGTGCACCCAACTATTACAGGTCTAACACATAGAGACAGACAACCATTCACACTCACAATCACACCTACAACCAATTCAGAGTCACATTTTAACCTAGCCTGCATGTCTTTGAGACTGTGGGAGGAAGCCAGAGCACCTGGAGAAAACTCACACTGACACAGGGAGAACATGAAAACTTTGCACAGAAGCACTCCCCCATGCTATATTTCAAATATTTTTTCTGCTTTATCTTACTGTCAGACAGCAGTTTTATACAGGGAAATGAAGCCATTATGTCACCCTCTTCAAAGCCAGACTCCATTGAGAAAAACAGTGATTTAACATTGCTGATCAAAGGGGCTGCTGGTCTACCACTGCCTTGATCACTTACTTTGTTTGTGTTATTGTGTGATCAAACTAACCTTTAGATAGTTAGCTAAATGCCTAAGTCATGCAATAACACAAACAAAGTAAGCGATCTAGGCAGCAGTAGACCAGCAGCTCCCATGTTAAGCAATGTTAAATCATTGTTTTTGGATGGATGGAGTACTGATGCTGTTAACACTTTCCCTGTCGTAACAGGCCTTCTGACATAAAGTTGAAGTGATGAGAAAAATCTAAATATGGCGTACACTTTAAATGTTGTTTATTTTTTAAGGAAGACTTTTTTATGTAGCTAAAATATGTTTTGCTGCTGCCCCCCACCCAGAGCAGTACATTGCTTGGTTTCCATGTTCCTCCATGTTGGCACTCTTGCTGCTTCTCTGAGGGCATGCAGACAAATATCTACTGTATGTAATACACTGACTATAGATAACCACCCCACACAACCACATTTTTAAAAAATCCAAACTATCCCTTTAAGTGCAGCAACTTTTAAATGCGCTCCATGTTGAATCCTATTTGAAACAGCTGAAATTTAAATACACTGATTTTATCAAAGCTAGCATGCTTGTGAAATAACATCTGATTAACGACTTGTTCTCTTTAATCACAAGCGTTCATAAAGGTGCGAAGTAAGGAATGCTGCATGGAGGAATTCATTAAAGAGCACATTTTCACATAACGCCAGATGTTTTTATTGTTCATTTGAATACATGTTTGCAGTGTGGCTGGTGCAGTTAAAAACAATTGTAGTCAGATTCCAAAGCATTTCATACGACTATAATATGGGATGTCAGAGCTAAAGCTAAAGCTGCATTTTAAAAAATGGCCACTGAGGGGCAGATGAGCGTCAAACAGATAACTAACAAATCCTTTGAGTACAACTTTAGTGTGGAGTTATTATTATTAAAACAGGGACCAGTGGATAGAGCATAACAGCATTTCTATTTCAAAATCTGTTGTATGTTTGTCCTGTGTGCTTCCTTGATATGTTTTTTATACATGCATTTAATTTTCAAGACAGCTGCCACCCTAAAATCTCTCATATTATTGAAGAAAGCATAGATGATAAAGAAAGTTAAGAACAAAAAAAATAATGTAACTGTGACTGTTAAACTTTTTCTGTGCCAGTATCATTGGGATTAACTTGTCATACATACATTTTAATGCTGGACAGTATAGAATGTGAAATTATGAAATTAACTTTAGTAATTATCAGATATTCTGCTAAATAGTCTGTGTATCATCATTGCCCATTATTCTTTCTTCTTAAACACACAAAATAATGTTACAGAATATGAACAATGTGGGTCAGTTGACAGTCTCAGCTTTCACCAGTAGGTGTCAGTATTGCTGGAGAGATGGACTCCTGGAGGAGGAAGGGGGCATGAATGAATAGTTTCTCCAGTCCACAGACAGATGGAGCTCGTGGCACAGACATCAGCAGACCCCTTCTTCCTAGACAACATTAAAAATGGGAGCTCTTTGTTCAAATGGAGGAAAAGATTATGTTCCCATGTTAGCCAGTGCCCTTGAATCCCTGCCAGCTGTAAATGTACTGTGATGTTTCTGACCCCTTCACCCTGAGCTCAGCAGAGAATTCCAAGCACAAAAGGTTTCACAAGTCAGATATTTTTTTCTTTTATTTGTTCCATTGATTTTTCTCAGTCATAGGTCAGCTGCTTGGATTCCTGCATGTGTTTTCTATCAAGTTAATACCACACTGTTTTTTATTTGGTAATTGAATGGCTTTGCAAAATGTGTCTCAATAGTTTTCGCTGCCAATAAACACAGATGTTTATGACTTGGCTGAGCTGAAGTGGTTTTTGGCGGGGGGGATTTCGTAGCATTGTTTTTTAAATTGCTCAACATTAGAAGGAGAAAATATTTCAGTTCATGGCCAGACGCTTCCAGGAACACATTTATAAATGTGACATTGTCTGACGGGAAACATTAAAAAAGTTAACACTTCTTGCTGGCTTACTTGCTCGGTTATTACGATGTGTTCTCATCACAGGTCTTCAAATACTGATACTTTTTTGTGCTCCTGGTGTGTAATACAGATGCTGAAGGCACCTGTTCTTGGTTTTGAGAGACACCCCTTGATGTCTGTATGTGACGCACAGCTGCCTCCTGAGTTGAAGTTGTTGGAACATGTGGTAAACATTGTCAAAAAAACCCTACTTGGTTATAAGAAACATGTTTTTGGTTAAAATAAGTACGTAACATGTTGTAAATATGTGACCAATTGACATAAGTTAGATACTATTACCTTAAAACAACACTAACTTTTGGTTTCAAATGGGATATAAACAGTGGTTTCTTGGGTAAAAGTGTTTGTTTGACCAATTTTACCTCCCCTCCCTCTCGCCCTACATGGACCCCCTTGTTCTTCATACTACATCAGTTGCTCTGAGTGTTAAATATTGCCACAGATGGGTTTGCAAGCCTGATACATCTCATAGAGACACCATCGGCGTCACTGTCACATGCCAAGGGGTGTGAGAAAATGTCAATATTTGACGACCTGGTAAAGAGAACAGGTTGGTTATCTATATAAACTTTCACAATGTTCTCAAATATGTAATAGATTCAAACTATAATGATAATGTGGTAATAGTAAATGTTACATTTTGACGTCAGCCTTTGTGTCACTGACTGAAGTAGTTAGGCCCTTTTCTTTATTGCCATGACAGGCTATTAACCAAACTCTGTGTTTGATTACTTGCAGTTTATTGTTCCAAATAATGGCTAACTGTAACAACAAAATATGAAGAGTAAACATCCCTGTAGTATACAAGATTCAGATTCAGATACAAGACAACTGTGGGCAGGAAACCTGAAAACTAAGATTTTCTCACATCCAGCACAGTCACTAAGAGAAAATGTTGGCATTGTATGTTTCTGCTAACCATGAATACGTCACATTTGTACGTTTCATGTATCATATCAACAATTCTAAAGTGACAGAGTATATGAGCTGACTTTGTCATCTGGGGTCTCATTAATAAACTTTGCTTATGCACAAAACAAGGCCTGAAAGAGGCCTAAACCATTTCCCATGCAAAGTTGTAATGTATAAAAACAGACTTTATCGTAGAAATTTGACCCATGCTTAAGAATATTTTGGAGATGGGGAATTGGCAACAAAGATAGTAAGGTGGAAGCCTGATTGCAGGAATTGTTGAATATTTTTTGGTATAAATGAGACCCCTGGACGGGATGTTGCACAAAAATCAATTCATCCCTGTTTTTCCAGCGGCTTTTTTGGCACCAAACGTGCATGTTTTTAGTGACCAGAGACACCGCTGCTTTTCCTGTGGCGATTTTGCCACCAAAAGTGGATATCTTAAGCCAAAACATGATCTTTTTCGAACTCTTGTGCCTAAGCATAAGCACATATTAACCATAACATTACTGAAAGGTAAAGTTTCAACATATCTGCTCCATGATAACATGCAAATGTAACATATCTGTGGTCTGCCAACATATTTTATCCTGCCATTGGGTTATCACATCAGTATTAACTCCACTCTTAGTTGAAATCAAGTCAAAACACAGCTTAGATATTAATATATTTAAGAAAAACTTTATTTGTGACTTATTAACAAAACACATTACCAGATTGATGAAATCATAAGAATCACTATTATCACCTTTACAATGATAAGCAGGTGTACAAAAAAAAAGTTATTAACAGATCTGCACTGTCACAGTCGACTGGTGCGTGCCACTCACTGCCACACCCAGCGACTGAGGAACATTCACTATACACAAGCAGAGAATACATCAACTTTATTTTTTTAATACCATTTTATGTATTTTGATTTTTTTTTTTCTTTTTCTGCTTTTTTTTTTAAGGGATACATATGGAGGGTGAGTAAATGATTCGATTTCACAATAGTGTTTGTTTGATCATTGTTTCAAAGCTTAACACAACTTTAAGGATCGGTTTTCTTATCTATGAAAATCATAAGGGTAAAAACAGAAAAAAAGCATTTCATAGCATAACACAATAGCATTATGTATATCTAGAAGATTAAATTTTCAACAGGATAAAAAATGTGATTCTTTTAGGTTTTTCCACAAATTACTGTTTGCAATAGAGTATATGTGTGTATGTATATGAATGTGTGGATGAGTGTAGGTCGTTCAATGTGTGTGTATCGTCTCTGAGAATGTGTATCAGAGGTATATGTATTCCAATACGCATTTCCCAGTGGAAAAACATATCTATGTATATATAGTATCTATATAGTATCTGTTTCCTTTGCTTATAACATGCAAACAGCCACTTGGTGATCTGACAGCACAGAAGTACACCTGAAGGACAGCAGGGGGGAAAGACACGTGTGCATGGGAGGGATTGAGCCTGATAGCAGCACCTATATACCCCTACTGTGACTGGTAAGATGATGTTCTAAAAAAAGGAACACTGAGGTGAGATTTTATGACACTTTTCATCATGTTGATGCTGTTCCAATATCTACTGCTCATTCTGCACTCTATCTACTGCACTTTCTCTACCATGCTACACCCGGGATTCACAATGTCGGGGTCAAATAAAGCTGATCACGTCACACAGTTCACACTTGGGTCGCTGCAACTTGGACATTTCTCCTGCACAGCAGCATTATTTATGATGTTTGTGCAGCAATTAAGCCAAAAATATATTATTTAAGGTCTTTCCAGCTGTGAGGTTTGACTTGTGTTGATTTTTGCTTGCTCTCTGGTATCATCGCCTCTCACTGGTGCAACATAAACGGTGTCAACAGTGTGCTTCCCCTCCATTAATCCTTAAGTGGATTTCCCCCACTTCCAAATCAACCACAAGTCAACCTCTTTCCACTGCTGCTGCTGAACTGCCCTGCACTTATTGTGTAAGTGGTTTTAGTCGGCCCAAGTTGATCAGCTGTCACTAATGGCTGACGCAGGAATAACTGCAGTACCTCTGCTAGTGCAAAGGAAGATGGCCTGCCCAATTAACTCTGCTGTGGTTTCTTTACCCTCTACGATGGAGCTACACACTACAATGACTCTTCCTTTGCCTCTCCATCTTGTCTCATTATATCCAATACAACATACTCTCAGATTCTGCTAACTTGTCAGAGGTCCTTACAATGCAATATGCGAGAGATGACAGAGCTGTCGACAATAAGCAATCTAAGCTCAGCTGAACCCAACAAAGTGTGTGTGTGTGTGTGTGGAGTCTATGTGCACATGTCTATGTGTGTTTTCAGTCTGTATATGCAAATGCACAAATGTCACTGTGTTAGGGCCGCACAGTTCATTGAAGGAGAGTGACTTGAAAGATGTTATCCAACCATGTTGATTTGAAGAAACAGGAGTAGAGGGAGGAAACAGGCAGCGGGCAAGCAAATCCTACAAGCACTGAAGCAGTCGAGGCAGTGGTGCAGGGCTTGAAAAACAACTACTTAACATTCAAAGACAGAATCAGAGGGATCAGGCTTGAACAGAAATGAAGCAACAAGCAACGTTCCTGCGTCCCAGCCATATAATACACTTCCATGTTAAGGATGGCACTGGCCTTCAGTCTTGGAGTTTCCAGAAAGGGGTGTGTATTCTTTTAGTATATCTTTGTCGTTTGTATGTACTGTGTGTCTATCTGTAAGTGAGCAAGAGAGAGCATGTGTGTATGTCTGTGTGTGAGTAGGAGGCAGAGAGAATCAGTGTTTGTGTACACTAATGTGTGTCAGACTGGGTGTGCCGATACACAGTGGGAATAAGACCCCATTGACCTGTGCCGTATTCCAAGAGGAGAGGCAAGGTCAGGGGCCGGTTGCAACAGCTGCACGTAGGTTCCCTAGTTATATCCGAAGTAGCCACTAATCCCGATTCACGCATTGCTAAAACACAAGCGGTAGCACCACAAAAATCTGTTACAACGTAACCTTAAGTAACAACTAAATAGTTAAGCAAGCAATAAAGTAGGTGCAAATGATACGAAGTCACACAATTGTACTCACTAACAGTAAAGCAGGATTTTTTTTTTCTTTTTTTGCACACAGCGTATTTTTTTTCATTAATAATTCCATGTCATTTTGAAACTTGAAGGACTTTAACAGGGATTTTGGATGTTTCAGCCCATTTTCTACAAATTATACGTTACTGATGACTGCTTTCCGTTTTTTTTTTTTTTTTTAAAATCTGTCTTTTTTCAGGCATAATTTGTTTCCCATTCATTTCCATACAACACGAAAATCAACATGGTGAGACGCACTTTAATCCATCACGTCTGTGTTTCATTGCCATGTTATGTGATAACATGACGCAGTTTTTAAATGTATCTGCATATTACCACAATAAAACCAGATGCTGTGTTCACTTTGATGGATTTCTTAAAGCTGGGGTAGGCAGTTTTCTGGAGAAGGCAAAAAAAGCCAGACGTTTAGACAGGCATATACGCTGGAGGACTAGTGATTTCAATCATCTCAATGCCGTTATGTAGGACTGGAGGTAGAAATATCGTCCTGTTTTCTTTGCAAACTTGTGGGCCTGTAAAGCCCTTTGAGATGACACACTGTCATTCAACGTTAGCTACATAAACATGAACTTGGCAGTTGTTGTCAGTGTTTGAACAGCTACTTTTTCTGCAGGATTTTCCACCATTGAATCAGGCTTTCACAATTTCCATGGACGTGCACATTTGCAGCAACAACTAACAGGAACGTCCTGTCTTTGAAATGACCTGTGATTCACTCAAGTCTCCTGTCATGGGCTAGAATTTCTAAGGCCTGAAAACAGAGCCAAGAGGCGGTGCAGAAGTCTTGTTTTCTCTCAGACCACTTAAATTACAATATGCTCAGAGGTTATCATAGGATTTTTGACAACGATGCCAAAAAATAGGCCTATCCCAGCTTTAATGTGAAAAAATGTGGAATCTCAACATATATGTTTTTGTGCTAATAAATGAAATCAACAATGGCTGCCTGAAAGATAGGAAAATACTTTTAAAATGCTGAAAACGCAAAATATCAGCAGTGAGGTTAAGGATATAAGATTTGTAGAAAAGAGACTAAACCATGTTAGTATTGCCCTTAAAGAGTCAAATATGGATTCTTTATACCAATCATAATTTTTATGCCAATCTTGTCAACTGCAAATCAGTGTGGCAGCGAGGTAATGCTATTACTGATTGGCTACTCATGTAAAGTCTTATGTCATAACTAGATAGAGCCGTAGTATTCCCCCCTTACTACCCATGGTACAATCGAATTTAGTAACTTGCTCTTGCAAATTAACTAGCAGTTATGAAGCCGCTACTTTATACCCTAACCTGGGAACAAACTTGCGCATAGTTGGTGCAACCCAGTCCAGGTCCTCAGCCTCAGCAATGTGCTATGTTACACTGAAACAGAGCTCGAGCGTGGTCCTGCTTGTCTCAGCCACCTCATTCTCTTCAAGGTGCTAATCTCATGGTACATATACTGTATGTTGTTACTTTTTCATTTTTCTTTTTTTATACAAAAGACCACATTTTCTGAATTTCTACAAGGCCTCCACAATACTGAAGACAAAAGCCTCTGTTTCATTTTTTTTTTTTTGTTTGGCTTTCACTTCACCTCCAACTAGGTGAGCCAAAAAGGAAGGGGGCTGCATAAAGACAGAGATGCCAACACAGGCAGCCTCAGCTGACAATGGTCAGATACAAATAGTACACCTTTTCAGGTGTTTTTGTTTTCATTATACAAACTGGTGGGGGCAGCAAATCACAGAAAGGCTAATCTAATCCAATAAAACCCTTTCTGTTTGAATTTGGTCCAACCTTTAGATGAACTCTGTCGACTACGAACATTTGTTAACCATAAACCTTAGACTTTTACAGGCTAAAGTTATGGGCCAATGAGCCAAGAAAGAAAAAGAAACATTTGTTTAGCAAGTTCACATGGTGTGGGGAGCCAGGACTTGTCTAATGAGGGTTGGCCACTGTACAATGTCTTTGCAAATATAGTGCAAGGAGGCTCCCTTGCATCTACAATATGCATTTGGCTTTTTATTCTGGCTCTGTAATTGGGATTTGTTGGTAGCTCTGTTTTCAAGTCACCCCTTCTCCTCTAATCATCCCCCCCATCATCCTTTCCTTTATCCTTCTTGTCCTTCTTGTCCTTCTTCTTCTTTTTCTTCTTCTTGGCCTCATCCTTCTTGCCAAAGCTTATGAAGTCACCTTTGTCATCCACAGGGCCGGCGTCATGGCGGATAGAAATGATGGCTGGGGATCCAGGGATAATGAAGGCTTCAGGAGGAATCTCTCCAGGCTTCAGGGGCTGAGGAGGGCCGTAACCCTGTGCGGCACCGTACCTGAAGTGCCAGCTGTTGCTGTTGACTCCAGCACCCACTGGAGGCGATAGTTCACCACCATCTCCATCTACACCGGAATGAAAAAAAGAAAAAAGAGAAATCATGTTACTCATTAGAAATCATGCTACTCATTATTTTTATTCAATCATCACTGTGACCACACCACATCATTAAAGGAATAGTTTCACATCTTGGGAAGTAAGCTTATCAGCTTTCTTGTAGAGTAAGATAAGGAAATCAATGTTTTTAGTACAAATTAAACATATGACATATAACATGTTAGTTATTGAGCTTTGGGGAAGGGTAGGGTAAAAATTTAACTAACAGATATCACCATAAAACTTCCCCAGCTGATTATTCACATTAAGATAATTATATTTTGTATTCCAAGTTTTCTAAAATTGTATTTTTGAATATGCAAATGAGGCACTATCTGAATCTGTCCTAATTTAACAGACATTTTCTAATGTTTTCTTTCCGCAGTCTAAGAAAGACATTGTATATAAGCGAAATAGCCCAAAATCTCAAAATTGACAAGTGCATGAAAGAAATTAACAAAAAATCCAGTGTTTTCACTTGTAGTGTCTACCCTTCAGAGGTATTAGTAGGCAGATTATGTTATTGGACAGAGCCAGGCTAGCTATTCTTTGTGCTAAGCTAAGCTGACTGGCTGCTGGCTAAAGCTACATATTTACCATACAGATATGAGAGTGGTGTTGTTATCAAACAGGAACGCAAATAAGCACATTTCCCAATATATTTGAACTATTCCTTTAAATATCAATTCCACAGTAGCTCTTTACATTATCTTTTGATCGCTGGCTAGTGCCAGAGGTAGGACAGTCCACACTGACCTGGACTTCACAGAAGTAAATCCCCCACTGTCCTGCTTATAGCTGAAGAATTAGCGCCTCATCAATTAGCACCCTATTGGTTAGGATAGGTTTAGGAAAAGAATCATGGTTGGGAATTGTCACGTTACATACTTCATGTAAAGTTACAAAGGTCAGATGTAGGACAGTAAAGTTACATAGGTTAAGTTTAAGGAAAAAAAGGTTAGGTTCAAGGAAAGTCAAGTTACATCGGTTAGGTTTCAGGAAAATGAAGTTTTGTAGGATTAGGTTCAAGGAAAGTAAAATTAGGTAGGTTAGTTTTAAGGAAAGTAAAGTTACACAGGGTAGATTTAGGATAATAAAGTTACATCTGTCTGGTTTAAGGAGAGTAAAGTTACATAGGTTTGGTTTACTGAAAGTAAAGTTATGTACATTAGGCTAATGGAAAATTAAATTTTGTAGGATTTTTTTCATAGGATTAGGAGGATTAGGATTAGGATTTCGTAGGTTAGGAAAGGAAAAGAATCATGGCCAGGGGTCGGCGTAAATAACATGACAACATGACATCGTACAACGCACCATAAAATAATTCAAAGTTCACTTCGTCTTATACAGGATCATCAGGAGCATCAGTCTCCTAGGGGAAAGTTGTGTGTTTGTTTGACCCATCCACCACCACCTTCCTGCTTACATGGACTTTTGCTCTGTATACTACTTCCTTCCTTACATCCATCAGTGCATTGGACACATGATCGCAGCCCTCACATTTGCAGCCTATCCTGCTTGTCGTGCATTTTTCCTTATTTAGACTTCACTATTTGGGCTTTGATATGTTCATAAAATCTGACATGTAAGAAATATTTAAAATCAAGCAAAAGCATGCAGAGCAATAGCCTGACAACAGAGAGATAGCCACAGGGAGCAGATATTTTCAGGACAGCGATTCAGCCGAGACCACATGAGGGAAGACTGGAGGGGGCTAACCTTTAAACCACAGGGATGTTTAGCTTGGCAGTGTGATTTGTATTTGTATTTGGATGATGGCAGCAGCTTAATCCTTCTCTCATAGGAGGCCAGAGACAGGGATTCAACCTTCAGTGCTCAAGCATGAATATGACAGAGAAAGGAACCCAGGGAGCAAATTTAAAAAAAAAAGATACTGAAAAAAATCTATATATAGAACAATTATTATGTAAAGTGAAAATAAGACATAGCTATTAAGGTCAAAAGGTTAAAGACAGCAGAGTGAAAAGGAAAGAGGATGTTAGATGAGATAAGGAGAGAGAGGCAGAGAGAGAGAGAGGGAGTGTGGCAGCAAGAAAGATGGGGGTGGGCGGGTTTTGCAGACACGGTGCTCTCAGGCCCACACCAGTTCCCTCTGCACTGACCTACTTTCAGTCTGGATTTTATTTAGATCAAACACAGGCCCTTGCAAAAAGATTCTTTTTGATTTTTCTTTGTAGGCTATTTATGACATTGCTGGAGCACTGAAATGGTTTCAAACGATGTCCCATTGGGAGGTACACTATTTTGAAAATGCATACTTGTCCATACGCACAGTGTATCACTGAAATGAGCTCATCAAGAATGAGAATATGTACAGACTATAATAAGAGCAGATGTAATGGACACTATCGTGCTGCTCGATATTTTAGCTCTGCATTGCTACCCTGTTTAACCACTATATGTTACTGAGTCATGACCCACTGGAAATTGATCATATATTAACACTGTAAGGGATTGATGTTTGGAATATAGTAGATCAGATGTTGTTGCTTTTAGTAACAAAGCAGCAGCATGCCATTGTGACAGGGACATGAGAACACAGACACATAAATAATTTGTTATCTACTTGCAAAAATAGATGTATTCATTTTTAAGTTACATTAAATAATTAGCACGTGAAGGACCGGGGTAAGAAATAAACCACGTCAAGCTATGACTGCTGAGGAAACATTTTGTCTCATGTTACATAATTTCCAAAGACAGCGAATTGCTGCTAATTGACCTATGTAATTTAGCTTGTTTAATGATTAGTCAGTGTCAGATGTTATCATCTTATCTTACCGTTAGTGGAGTTAGTGCTGTAATACTGTAATACTGTAATGCCAGCCTGTTTCTGAGGATTATGACATCTGATGGTATGGTCTATCTGTTTGTATTTAATCTGGGTATTAAGCCCAGGAAGTATTTTAAATAAGTCCCATTCAATGGCTCTCAGTGGTTAGGTAAGGAAGATGGCTTCTCATGTGGAGGACAAATATGCTTAAATTAAATGAAAAGGAGATGTGCAAAATACGGTGCAACAGAATGTGGATGAGCTTACTGAGCTAGTGATGCAGTGCATGTCATTACTGTACACAATGCACCTCCATTTTATATAACTGATACACCATTTCCTGTTACCTGATGCTAAGAAAGGAGATTTGATGCTCTGTCATAAGAGTTTGGGAATACTTTATTTAGATAGTCTCGTATTAATAGATGACTAAAGACCTATGAAGCCTCTGTCTTTGCAAATTTTGCATTTAATTTTTACCGGTGACTGTATGTCACTCTGCAATTTGAAACCATAGCATTAAACCTAATCCATGGCAGGCATTGAATGCCTGCATACTTTACCTATTCTCATTCCCATGTCGTCAAATACTGATGCTTTGTCATGCCCCTAAGCATCTCTTAGTGATGCACAGGGCACCCTTTAGCGTCAATGTGACGCATGGCTGGAACACATTGTAACACAGGGTTAATGCTGTGAAAGTGTTGTAATTTATTCAACAAAACTACTTGGTAAGGTTTAGAAAAAAGGTCATTTTTTTGGGTTAAAATGAGTATCTTTGTTATAGTACCTAAAATACAGTAATGTGACATAAATATGTTAGGTGAGTGATGTCAGTGCTCGATGATGGTACATTATGTTACATTTTGTTAAAACAACATGGACTTTTGAGTTCACACAGGACATTGGTACGTAAGTTACTTAAAATTACGTCAACATTGACTTTCACAAGGGATGCAAACTGTGGTCGTCTGGGTTTGTTTGACCCATCCACTCTATGTCCCGCCCTGTGTGGACTTTCTTACTCTTTTTACTATGTTGGTCGCTCTCAGTGTTAAGTATTACCACAGATGGGTTTACATTAGAGTCAGTTAAAGCACAATGTGTCTCATACAGATGCTCCATGGTGCCTTTGGCGTCGATATCACATGCCATGGGACTTGACAAAGCTTCTGTATTTGATGACCTGGGGATGACAACGAACTGGCAGACCACTTTTCACTATGAACTCAGGTAACTTTGTGCGTCGGTTAGGAAAGCTATAGGGTCATTGAAGGAAAATTCCGGTAGGATCAACCTGGTATATTTTACATAAATGTGGCCATTTTGACTCTTTGGATGCTGCTAGCTTCACACTTGTCACCTCTGTTGTAGAGATTCAGGGAAACGAGGACAACAAAAATATATTGGAAGAGACGGTGCAAGCCCTTTAGAGTTGTCCAAAATAACATGAGTTTTATATTAATATTTGCAACCATTTGTCTCTTAGCCTGTTTATAGGTTTACCTGGATGTAGCATGCATTTTTGTGATCCACGCTGTTCACACCTGTGTCTAGTATATGTCTCCAGCTGACCATTTGTGCTCAGATTTTGATACTGCCTATGTCACTTACGTGAGAGGGTCAAAGAGCCTCACACACAGTTATTATGTCCACACTCTTGCTAGATGCTCGCTGCTTGCTAGTCACGTTAGCAGTTGTGTCAGTAGAGCTGAGATGTCACTGTCAGCAGACTTCAACATGTCTCCTTCCATAGGGCAAAACAACGGACAGTCACCCAACACTTAATCCAAAAAGTTATAGAGCACACTGTCACCAAAACAACCATCACGTCCTACATGCAAATTCACATTTCCTAGGACGGCAAAGGTATGACCCATCCTACTCTCCCCCTGATTGGCTAGTTCTTATTGCCTTTGTTGGTTGGGTTGGTTCAGTTTAGGCAAGAGGAGTGGGATTAGTTAGGGTTGGGGTAAGAATGTCAGGGTAGATCAATCAGAGCAAGACAGGTCATGTCTTTGCTATTCTTGGAAACTTGTGTCACCTCTGACACATATTAATACCAGGTATAAACAGGCTCTCTGAGTCCAACTGAAAGTAAACACAGGAAGTAGCACCCTGGAGTAATCATGTTTGTCAGCAGCATCAGGGATCTACATTTTGGCTGAAATACAGAGGATTTTTTCTTTGAAATTAAAAACGGGGTTTTGCCTCTGGGAGCATGAATGTACCCAGTTTATGTTTACAGAAGGATGGTCAATGGGTGCACAAAACTGAAAGAATTCATCCTCTGCAAACTATGAATGTGCTGAGTAAATTGATAAACTCTAATGAAGGTGCCAGAGGAGAGGTGAAGAGTTCACTGAAGCATTAGGATCCATTCTCTGTGGCAAATTAATATTAATGTGAAATTTTATGGCAATTTAGCCTGTAATTTTTTAAGATATATTGATTTGATAAAAGTATGTGGACACAATATCTTTAACTATACTGGTTATTTGGCCATCTAATGGTTTTGGCATTCTTAATTGTATCAGACAATTTATCACAGTAATATAATAAAAAAGTTATAATTAAACCTGTGCAAAATTACTAGACTGGTATAAAAGCTACAAACTGTGCTATAATGACTGTCTTCCTGCAGTGAAGAGAATTGTACACTACTACACATCAGCACAGCGTCTGGCCTATGTACACTTGATGGTGCTTGAGCAGTTCATGTCCCTACACATGACCAACTGAGCTAAAATGTCAAGTGGCTGTGTAGCGTCTAATCAAGTGAATATTGTCTCTGTGTCTTGGGACATCCCAGGGCTCTCTGCACTGGCTGTGACAAATCAAAAACCCTGCGATTATTAATTAGAATCCTGGCCCAGGTATTAATTTGAGATATTCCCGAAAAAATAATTCAGAACAAGCAGGTCACGTCACGGCTCGGTGGAGTCGGTACAACTAGCTTTGCTTCCCCTGTGCCACTGTTTCTCTAACATGGAGGATTACTTGTATCTCTGCCATTGCTTCATATTAGCCTATATTTCACAGCAAACGCTCATCTGAAACGGATTATGGTGTAACTGCTGGTAAGCAGGTCAGCACAGCTCCTTGTAAGGAGGTTGCCATGACACCTGATGTAGATTTGTGGGTGTCTGAAGCCTCATTTCATGTAACCTGATGTCCTACATTTAAAATAGGATATGTTATTTCCTGTCTAGTCCACAATACGGTTCCATCTAAAATGAATCTCTATGGTGGTTTGCAGCACATGCACAAATCTGACAGTCGTGCAGTGCTTGTGTAAATATATGTGGCACACTGCATATATTCTGCATGAGACGCATCTGCCTAAACCATTCTTTCCTGCATTATTTCTTCTAAATAACTGCGTGCCCTCTTTTTTGTCTTAATACCTGCCCTTGCAGAGTCCCCTTCTCTTTCCCATTCCCTACTCCTTCCTTTTTTTCTGTCTCTAAATCTTCCATTCAGAGATATGACCCGTTGCCATGGAAACTGCCTTCGCCCACTCCCTGCTGATAGAGGGTGCGGCTGCTGCAGCAATCTCTCAGTTAGACAGTGTTGCCAGGCAACAGGTCACATGGCGTTCCCTAGCAACAACACTACTGCAGGAACCTGCCAATCCTCTTAACCTTTCTCTTTCTCCATCCCCCCACACCTCGCTTTTTTTTCCCTCCATCCCCCTGTACGTCTCCTCTGCTCTTCCTCTCCAAAATTGCTTTTACTGTTACCGTATTTCTCTTTTTTTCTCATGGTACTCTCTTATTACTGATAATAGCCTCTCTCCCCCTCTGGCATTAGACAAATGTCTCCTCATCTGCACCATGGGTCACTTACATAAACCCAGTTTTGAGGGTGCAGCATTTAGATGCATCACAGCATATCAGACAACTTCATCATGATAACAATTCAGTGCAGACATGGAAATATGTCACAAAAAAAGCTCCACCTCTTAATGCACAGTAAAGAGGATCAACCTGCAATCCAGCACGTGCCTATGCCTTAGTACTGAGCCACTCCTAACAAATTATTTCCAATGCACCCCTGATAGGTCTGCAGTATGCTGTGCACTCTGCTTAAAGACAATATTTGAGTCTTTATGTGACCAGATAGGCAGCTTTCAATCTGCTTTACAGAAAGACACATTCCTCTTCAACAAACTGGCTCAAGGATGCTGAGAAGTGGTACAGCTTGCATCTCAAACAATTCCCCAGCTCTCTTAAAAAGCTGACAGACGGTAAGACATATTCTGTCACTGACTCGCCGAGTGATTGACTGTGATGCTACACTTCGACCTCAAGTCTGTACCTATGTTCTAATTCCTGCAGCTAGACAGAAAATCAATAAATGAAAGCTTGGCAGAGGGAAGGAGGGAACAGATCACAATGTTCCAAACACTGTTTTGAAATCTAAGTTTCAAAAGTTTTCCAGGCTGCCAACAAAAGCTGTTAGTCATTAGCTCTGAGACAGTGTGCCTAGGAAAGACAGGTCATTTTCGAGACCAGTTCTATTTACACTTATGTTGTGTTGCTACATATTGTCAATGTTGCCGCCCACTCAGGACAACTCATTTCTTATTAAAACACTGTTGCCTTTCTCAAGCTGTAGCTCTCCATGCTGGCAGCTGCTTTTATGGGAGGATACACTTGTTTATCTGTGGCTCTGCATAAGGTCTCCAGGCTTTTGGCACCTCACTTAAGCTCTGCATGAACATCACACTGGAATTCAAGATCATGCAGATATTCAAAGCACAATTTTGTCAAATCCCCAGTTTCACCATTATCTGAACCCAAGTAAGGACAAAGATGAATCCAACTTTATGAATTCAACATATTTGATACAACATACTCCAATGGACAGTTAATATGTAACTGTAACAGGCATTTATGTGTGGTGACCTGGGACTCCCTAAAATCTTATTTCAGTGTTGTGTGCCTGGCTCGCTTTGGATTGTCTGATTACTGTTTGGAAAGGCTAGCAAAACCATAACCTAAAAAGTTGTTTATTGACCTAATCTTTGCTTTAACCCCAAAAATAAACCTACTGGAGACCTCACAACTAACTGTAACCTCAAACAGCATCTGCAAAACCACTGTGGCTATCACCGGCACTAATGATGAGAAGGCGCTACTTGCAAACTGATTCATGAAATGATGCTTTTAGGTTCCTAGATACTGGTAGAAAAGCTTTCCGCACACTTACATCTACGCAGTGTTTCACTTTGTGAAAGTAATTTAAGTGTGCCCAAAAAGTTTCCAAGCCTACTGTATTTATGAATGCCAGCGTTGAGCCTCTTCACCTGCCGGCAGTTAGCTTTATCAAGAGGGAGTACAGTGACAAGGACAAGAACACTTGCTGGCTTCCCAACCGTTATGTTTTTGGCAGGCAAACCAAGGTTACCAGAGGTTCAAATCCCAGGTGCCTGCTTTAACAAGCCTTTTAACAAATAGCTTGGAGTTGCACACATTACTCATAGACATTTCAGTATACCACTTTCTCTACTTTTTATACATTTTAAAGCAAGATAAATAAAATCTTGCTAGGTTTCCTTACATTCAAATGTAGATGTAAAAGGGCAAATCCTTTTCTTCTATCAGTTCTCTGTCACCATTGCCCCTAAAAAGTTGTCATTATCTACATTTTTCACTCTATCCTGACTGCTAGAGATCTACTGACCTGCAGCGCTGGACACAGTTGGCCAGTTCTGGACCAGCATCCCCTGGGCTCCCTGCATCACAGAGGACTCCTCCATGTGGACCGAACTGAAAGGCAGAACACATTCAGCAAACTCAGTTAGACATGTCAAATCAAAAATTATTAAAGCTTTAAATAAAATATGGGCTGATTAGACATCTAGCTGTTAATCATCCCTTCCTTAAAGAAGCTGCTTTTTTTGTTAGTGTAGATATTTTCCAAACCTCAACTGAAATTATAATCGACATGTTAAATGCTTACAGTTTTAAAGGTTTGTTTGTTTGTTCAGGGTTTGTTGCCTGGGGCAATCTGTTTTGGGCTACCATTTCTTGTGGTCTTGTTTCTTTTTTTCTTTTTTTTTTTAAACATCAAACCCTTCATGTAGAATCCTCCACCTTAAAACAATGTGACACGAGACCTTTTACCCTACAATGAAGCAGTTGTATAGAGTCCTCATTGAATTTGTTATTTACACCTGAGAAATGTCAAAATATCACAGGAAAAGGCTGATGTCAATCTTTAGAATAAAAATGCATGAAATCTGCAAATCATTCCTACACTGTTAACTACAAAAGACAAAAACGACAAGTATTTTGTTAACTCTGGCAATCAAAGTTAATGGCTAGTTGCCTGGCAACCAGTTGTAATACCTACCCATCAAGCCTTGTATTTGAAAGAACATCTAATAAAGATGAGAGAATGTGGCTAAAATAAGAGAACCGCTAAAACAGAAATATGCCTCTTGAAAACTAAAATGGCAAAATGGCTGCTTGCCTACTTTTGTTTATACAGAATGTGCCTTTTTCGGGGCAATGGGGGCGTGAGCAAGTAACAAAACGTGTAGCTCAGCATGTGGCGTAAACAGTGACGTTTAAGTTTATTTACTTTATTAATCCCCCTGAGGGGAAATTCAATGTTTTCACTCTTGCTTGTCAATTACACACAGGTCCGAAAGACACACACATGCACAAACAGGACCTATACATGCACAAAGTGGAGAGATGTCAGAGTGAGGGGGCTGCCCTTGGTGGGGTCCCCCGAGCAGTTGGGAGGTTTGGTGCCTTGCTCAAGGGCACCTTGGCAGTGCCCAGGAGGTGAACTGGCACCTCTCCAGCCACCAGTCCATGCTCCATATCTTTGTCCAGACAGGGACTCGAACAGGCGACCCTCCGGTTCCCAACCCAAATCCCTATGGGGATTGCTACTGCCGCCTTCAAGCGCCTTCTCCTTCGAGCCAGACATGGGAGGGAAGCCGCGGCTGGTCAGTCTTTCATAAGTCGGCCCGTTCTTCACCATCCCCTTGCGAGGGCAAGGAGGGCACGCAATTCCTTGTCTCCCCAGTTGCTCATCTTTACAGTGTCTTTCAGGTTTGCGTTTCCCTCTTGCTACTAGCTGCTTGCTAATTCCTGCTATGAGCTGTTTCCTGTTTATCCACCGCCAGTGGGTTGCAGGTGCAGCATCATCAACAGTTCCACCCACAAGTCATCAACAGCCCCTCTCGTTGCAGAAGGCCGTCTCGGTCTGTTTAAACTAAAAGGGTTCCGCCAATATGACTACCCTACGAGGTGGAAAATTGGGCACCTCGGATCAACTCACCAGTCTGGCTCTGTGTGTCTAAACGCTCGCAGCTTGCCGGCAAAAAGGCCCAACATTCGCGGAAAATCTGGCAGTGTAAAAGGGGCTTATCACAGGGCTGACACATAGAGACAAACAACCATTCACACTCAGGTTCACACCTACAGCCAATTTTAGAGTCACCAATTAACCTGCATGTCTTTGGACTGTGGAAGGAAGCTGGAGTACCCAGATAAAACCCACACAGACACAGGAAGAACATGCAAACTCCGTACAGAAAGGCTCCCTCCTGGGATTGAACCAGGAACCCTCTTGTTGTGAGGTGACAGTGCTAACCACCACACCACCATGGCTAGCCAGTGAAGATTCTCAGTCATACAGGTTATGGTAATCATAAGTGCTAATATTGTAGGCATCATTGTCAAGTTAGTTTATCCTTTCATCTTTTCATCATATAACTGGTGGCAGTGGTGAATACTTGTACTGAGGGGACTGATCCCATCTGTTTCGGTTATTTTGTAGCTTCCAAGTTACATAGACCTTGCTGTTGTTGAGAGTTTTGTGTCACTTTTTTAAGGGGTGGGCAAGACCCATTGATTTCCATCCAATCCGAAGCGATACAAGGCCAGAATCTCCAATATTGATACTAATATGATACTTTTTATTATCAAAAGTGACTTTTTTTTATGAAGGATAAAGCAGTACTCCATGATTTATAAGGTAACTAATCAATCTACTTAAAGAGGCAACAGACAGCATTTTTTCCTAAATATATCATTATGAAAATAATGTAGGTTGCACAGGGTAGTGGCCACACTAAAATCAGACTATCAGCGTTTACATAGGTTACTTAGTGGCTTTGCATCTTTGTAATAAGCTTCTGCCACTGGGGGCGAAATTTCGCAGAAAAAATCTGCTTTACGGCAGGAAATGCGTCATGTATTGCGAAACTGGTCGGTCAGCCAATCAGGGACTGGAGCTGGTCTTTATGAGGAGTTGGGCATGAGATAGTTGAGTCACGAGCACAATGGCAGATGGACAAAGTTTGGAAACAAGTGAAAAACAGCCTAGCGAAAGAAAATGAGCTCCTCTGTGTGAGGAGGTGAAGAAGAGCAAAAAGAGAGTGATAAAAGAAGAGGAAAAACAAGAGTAAACCTCAGTCAGGCGTTCAAGAGATGGAGGGAACTGGTACTGGTACTGGTATAATTATTTGCATTACTATTTGTTTTTTCTTCAGATAAATCTGATAATTGTTGCTCAGTCTCTTTACTCATTTATTTAGTAGAGTGTCCACACACCTTCTCATTCTACATATACATAGAGGTATACTGGTGGCTTTACAGCCTACATTTTATTGATTATCTCTGATCCCCATGGTCAATTTGGTCTTTGCAACAATGCGAGCAACACTGCTGACGCTAGGTGGAATCCTATCTGTTGCCTCTTTAAATAATAGCTAATGATGACCAATTAGTGTCTAACCAGGGGCAGACTGGGACTAAAAAACAGCCCTGGACTCGGCCCAGCCCACAACAACCGGTGCGCATACGGTATGCGCTTCCTTCTTCATCAATGTGATTGGCGGCCGGCTGGCTCATAGATATCTACGGGCCGGCTGGCATCCAGTTTAAAGGCTGCCACCTAGCAGACTGGACGTGGAACAGTAGATTATCAGGGAGAAAAAAGGAAAAAAAAAAACGGTGATGACTGCGTGGCGGCCGCTGGCCGTCCTGGAGTACCGGCCGTTCTGTGATTCTCCAGAACCTCCAGATGGCCAGTCCGCCCCTGAGTCTAACAATATAACAAGAGTACATACCTATTTTGACTACTGTATGCCTGTATATTACTTGCCTGAGCCTCTCTAAAAAGACTCCGACTTCTGTTAGAGGTCCTTCATCCTCCCACCATTTCGATTCCAGCTCCGAGTTCTCGTTCTCGTGTTTTTCTTTTTTCATTAATCCATCACTGCTACTATGTTTCTGATTGAACTAATGAGGCGCAGATATAATTTCCACATTGAACGTCCGTGGACAGCTACAGTCATGCAGATGCTTAATGGTTCTATTCATAGTACCACTGAGGGTCCGTGTCAGCGCCCAGCAGTAAACGGTAGGGCTGGGAGGTGGCCCTACTGTCCTACTGCTGAAATCGGATGAAAGTGAAACTAAGAAGATGATGCTGGGTCTGGATTAAGTACATGCATTAGATGTGTTTATTTACAAATACAAATAGGTATGACATAGAAGAGGGAAACTGATCCCTTTTTCAGTATCAATCCTATTGACTCTCGGATTGATCTTCAAAATGCAAACATAGTGTCAAGAGTATCGATATTTTAGGATCGATCCACCCACCCCTACTTTTTTTTTTTTAAATCAAGGATAATGGAGTTTAAATCAGCTGTTTTATACCTCACAGTAGCACTTTCTACTGCTGTTTTTTTTTTGGGATCTGTCAACATACTTTAGATGACATTTATTTACATATTCAATTAGGATACATAACATCTTTAATGTATTTAAGTATTTCCAGCTTATCTTGTTACATATTTATATTTTATTAATTATGTGAAATAAAACTAGGACACTCCTACACCCAAATGAAAAATATAAAAAATTCACACTACAAGCACAACATAAACTCTCGGGATGGCCCCAAAGTGGAATTCTTGAAGTTTCAGATGTTTTTCAGAAGTTTTTTTCACCAGATGTAAAAAACCTAGAGGGTGTACTTTTCTCAGCTCTATGTTTCATTCGACTCAGCAGGTGGGCATGCAGCACACACAATTCCTTCTTCTTTCACTGTTACAGTTTACTGTCACTTTTTGGCTTTCACTGAACAACGGACAATTACAAAACAATTTGCTGGGAAAATTGAAAAATTTATTTCATATACACTTATTTATACTATCTGTCCAAAGCTTACAAAATATGTGATTTCCTTGAGTCTTGATGTTCGAGTGAACCAACCAGCTGCGACTCGGCCTGGCGAGGAAATATTCTTGTTTTTAACGTATGGATTGTATGGATTAAATAAAAAGAGATACAAAGTGTTTTTAGTAAGGATTCACATGGTCATGGAAAACCTGGAAAAGTCATGGAATTTCACAGTCATATTTTCCAGGCCTGGAAAAGACATGGGACTGGTTGAAATTATTCAAAGTTTTGGAAATGTCATGGAATTTTGTGTGTAATAAAATTGTTACAATAAAAAAAACTTTATAATGGCCCCTTGAAAAGTCATGGAAAAGTTTAGAAATGTTGTCTATGGAAATGTGGGGACCCTGTTTTAGTGACCCTTATAGGTGCTGGAAGGTGTATTTTGTTACCATAACATATATCTTCATATGTATGCAGAATCTGTAGGCAAAGGGACAAGATTTTGTTAGTGGGAGCACTCTGGTTTCCGTTTGCATTACAAGTAGTATTAACCAATCATGTTCGAGCAACAGGTAAACAGTCTGTGAAGAAAGGCTAGGCACATTGGCTATCGTCTGATGACGATTTAGCTGTATGTTAGTCTTTTAAAATTTTATTTATATGAAGATGCAGAAAAGTGTTTACAGAGATTAGCCAGCAAACAGAAGAGGACATCTTGGCCCAGATATCAGCTGTCTATCTGGATCTCCTGACGCAAGTTTTTAGGCAAAGTTAAGACAACTGGCTGGTGGCTATGGCTTCGCTAAACACAAGTGTAAACAACCACCAAGCGCATTGTGATCGATCAAACCACTTACCAAAGCTGTTTGGAATGTATTTAACCACATATTTTTTGTAGTGTAAATGCTAATGCATCCTGATGCTTCCTCAACAAGGACTACGTCATCGAGGCAGGACACAGTGGTTGCCTGCGCTCTATAACTTGCCCATTTTATGACCAGCTTGATGAAGTTTTACCATTGTTCATTGTTTTGCCCTATGAAAGGAGAAGTGTTAAATTCTGCTGATAGTGATATCTCAGCTATATCAACACAACTGCTAATGTGACTGGCAAGCATGCTTGTGAGCAGCTACCGAACGTGTTGGTGTAATAACTGTTGGCATCCTAGCGTAAGTGACGCAGTAATAACGAAATCTGAATAGAGGTGGTCAGCTGGAGATGCATGATGGACACGTGTGACTGCCGATGTGCCTCGGTTGTCCACTTGTGCTCAAATCTCCGAAACACATTAATACCAGGAGTAAACAGGCTCTTAGTAAATAGCAATTTGCCTTTTTCACAGCAGATATTTTGACTTGTCATGGCAGGAAAAGCACAGGTGCTACATAATAACACCAATAATGGCTCTGTTCTATTCAAGCGTTCCATTTAGGTGACAGAGAGCCGACATGTACAGTACCAGGAGCCTGAAATCAAAGCAGCTAAATGGAGTTCAGCTATCATTCGTTTTATTATTTAAACTTGTACTTTTCAAACTGTGACAAGTCAAACTGTCTGCCCTGAAAAAGGCCTGCGGGGCTGAAGACAAACTTTAACTCAAGCTTTCCCTAAGAAACATAATACTGGGGAAATATGACCACACAGAATCCCTACACAGAGTCACAAACATGTATCTTAAAATGTAGAAACTCTTGTGATGCTGTAATAAACATGCAAAGCCAAGTGCATGCATGCAGCATCCAGCATAGGCTCGAGATATTCCCCCCCATACATTCATAATGACTATAGAGCTCACTGTATAGGAGGACCAACCCTGACTGGGGCCTCTGCAATGCAGCACCTTCAGCATCTATCTCAAACTGCAACACGCTTATGTGTTACATTGAATAGGGATTTGTCATGAATATAAAATGGTCATGTACATTCTGAGCAGTGCAGGTTTCAAGCTTTTTCCACAAGCGAAGGTGCTGATTTAATGTGTGAGAGTATGACACAGTTACTGGTGTTTTCTACACTGACTGACTTCACCAGAAATGTGGGTCAGTAATGTTGGTGCTACGCGCCGTGTGTGGTGTGAGACATTGCAGCGTGTGTGTGTCAGGGTTAAGTGTTAATATGAGCTTCTCTGCGTCTGTGCTTGTTACAGGCACTGCCATTTTAGAGATGGCAGCGGCAAATTGCAATGATGATTTATGTTAATCCATGTCATGTTACAGTGACTTGATGACATGATGCACATTATGATACCCTCCACGCCATAGAAATTAACACTAATATCCAATTAAATCAAACTTAGACAGAGCAGAAGACTGCACAAGTGAGCAGTCAGCATTGTTGGCATGAAATTATGAAAATAGAGTCCACATTACAAACATGTGGAGGTAAAACTCATTAGTCCCTGATGTTTCAGCTGTCCTCATATCAAATTAGCAAAGCACTTCTTTATGTATTTTAATACAACTTTTGTGACCTGATCATTACAAAATTTAAGAGACAGATGGAGACACACACACAAAAAAATGTTCCTAATTGTTGTCAGATCCTGTTAATATGAATATTCTCTAATTTGCAGTAGGTAGCTTATGAGATCTTTAGATTATGGTGTAATTAGGATTTTGGTCAAGCAATAAGGCGTATGAAGGCATATCTGTAACAGTGCATGCCACTGCATTAACAAGTGTGTCTAGAGTCCAAAATGTCCTCTGCTGTCTGTGTTCACAACTTCTCCCCTTGTCTCTGGACAGAAATATATAAAACCCCACAGAAACTCACATTTGTGAGGCAGTTGTACATGCAGACACTGATGCATGTGTGCATCTGATGATCTGAGAAAGGTCATAGTCAGCTCATTTGTCCTTCATGCTTCCTGCTTAAAGACTGTAACTGGGGGGGGGGGGGGGGGGGGGGGGGGGGGGGGGGGGGGGGGGGGGGCAACGCTCAGAATGTAGATGATGACCTATATAGTGTTACACTGCAGAGGAGGAGTGCTACACATCCACTGATGGGAGCTGCAGATGGCTTTTCCCAAAGGAAGAGGACAGGGTTGAGGTTCAAACTGATGCTGAGGGGCCACTAACGGCCATTTCTGATAATGGCAGACACTGATCTGCTGTGTGTTGCAGTGTCATTTTGAGGTGCAGGTGTACAAAAATTGCATTTAAAGATTCCATACATTGCAGCTGTGGTAACGTCAAGAGCATTATGAAGGGTCACTGTAGTGGTAGCATGGACAGGCTGTAGACACTGTGAGGAAGATGAATAACTTTTTCTAGATTATCAAAAGTTGCAAAAGAGTTAAAGACAGAAAGTGCTTACCTCTGCACCCCTGCCCTCAAAGATGCAGAATATCGCCAGTCAGCATTCGGGGCTTTCGGCTGAGCGAGCAATAGGTAGAGAGAGAGAGAGAGAGAGAAGAAGAGAGGGAAGAGGTGGAAAAAAAGAGAAGTGAGTGAGAGAGAGAGAGAGAGAGAGAGAGAGAGAGAGAGAGAGAGACAGGAGGGAAGAGAGAGAGTTTAGTTTGATCTCACACAGTGCAAAGCCAGGCTGGGCCATGGTCTCATCAATTAATCATGATACACATCCCAGCTCTGGACGTGATAGGAACACTGCAGTTGTGTCCCCCTTTGCAGGCACACACACACACACACACACACACACACACACACACACACACACATGCATACATATTGATATCCCCCCATAGACACAGAAGGACTTTAAAAAGGGCAGTGACTGAGAGCCATATTGATGAGTTTTTGGACAGTCTCTCACTTCATGGCTCTATAAATGTGAGAGCTGGGGGAGTTATGGCCTTTCCCTGAGAGCCGGGGTGTTTGTACAGAATGATGTGTACGTGTTGGTGGGTAACTGGAGTATCTGTCTGCTCCTGATGAACCTGGGCTGAGTGCTCAGAACTCCCAGCAGTCCTCTGGTATATTATTGCCTTTAAAAACCAATAAGCAAGAGCCAAATGACCACGACCTCTAACACCGCATTACAGGGTGGTGGCACGTATTGTGTCGAAAATACATGGTGGTAGCATGGTTGGGTTGAGGCACCAAAACTATTTGGTTAGATTTAGAAAAAGATTGTTTTTGGTTTAAGTAACTACATTTGTCATGTATGTAATTCAAGTATGTCATAAAGGATGTAAATATGTTGAGTTAAAAGAAATCAACACAAAAAGTAATCTCCCAGGTGAAAGTCCAGGGTTTGTTGACCCATCGACCACCCCAACTTCTTCCCTACGCAGACTTTCTAGCTCTTAAACTACCTACAGTATGGGGTCGTAGCTTTAACACAATACAGGCCAACACCATGTAATGCGATGTTAGGACAACACATTCTCACTCCTAAATTGTCAAATAGCGACGTTTGGTTAGTGGGTCTTAGCATTGAGCACCGACACACCAAGGCACTCTTTAGCAGTGGTATGAGACACACTGGGCAGCATGTCAACTTACACTCAAATTTGTTGTTTTCACAGAAAATAGACAGTTTCTGCTAGTTAAATACAGCCTTTTTTAAAACTTACGTAAAAATTTGGGGGTTTACTTCCTGAGGTTTATGCAGCAAAAACGTGGTTGGGTTTAGAAAAAAACATCATCGTTCAGCTTAAAATAAGTAAGTTTGTTACTAACATGATGTAATGTAACGTCACGTGACATACATCACTACCGTAGCCTACAACACATATTAGCACACTGTTGTTATCAAAATAACTCAATTAACTTTTAATTTGACATGGGACACAAACAGCGGTCTCACGCGTGAAAGTCCAGAGTTTGTTTAAACCATCCACCTCCATTCCCAACCACCCTAGGCAGAGTTTCTCGCTCTTTATACTACAGCAGTTGCTCAAAGTGTCAATAAATGCCTCTGCCCAGTCATCTCATACCGCCGCAAAAGGGTGCCTCGGTACGTTGGTATCTGACGCTGAGTGTTTGATGAGGTGAGAGTGAGACCAGGTTGGTTAAGAGGTTGTGGTCATTTCATATTTCTGTGGGATCATGTTGAAGGGGCAATCATTTACAAATATGATGTATTACATATGTGTAGGATTCAGTGTGAGACAAATGTATGGGACAAATCATCAATAATATTTTCAAATTATCACTGTTGTATAAACTGATTTCATCTTCTTCCATCTGTCTTAATTTGGAGATTTACATGACTTACTTCTGATTCTGTATATCTCCATGACTCCATGGCCATGATCAAATTGCAGCTACTATACGGACAACTTTTTGATAGTGCATGTTTGCACTAAAATAAATGATAAACAATATATTTAGATGCTTCTAAGAACACAGAGCATTAAGAAGTATTGTGAAATCAAAAATGCACTGCCTGGACAAAGGATTTTTTGGCTAAATATTTAAATTATAAATATAAAGTAAATGGTAAATGCTAAATGGAAATCACCCTTTGTTAGTTAAATATGTATTTTTAATTTTTGGGACAAACTGTCCCTTTAAATTAAAGACTGATTCATCAGTAGCTACAATTGGTAAAATTGTCATTACAGTGATTGTTTAGAATCATTTTGGAGTAATAAAGACATTGTATGAAATACTGGTCAGAGATATTAGTATTAACTGGGTTTGTATGTCTATCAGTGCTACTCCTACTAATATAATAATGTTGATTTTTTTTTTTTTGGAGTATTGGAGTTACCATGCTAAATGGGAAAACATCTCCAACAAGTAATCCAACCCACATGACCACTTAAGTCGTATCATCAAACCTCTGAATGCAACCTACAGGAGCATTTCCTAAATTAGTGCTCCTACCAGTGGAGGACAGAATAGCTCATATGACCGTTAACTGTCATAGTTTTAAACATGTGGGCAACAAAACTCCTTGGTTAGGTTTATGAAAAACATCATGGTTTGGTTTAAAATAACTACATTTTTTAATTATGGATCTAACTTGACATACATCACGTAATATATGTTGATGTACTGTGTTTCATTGATAAAACAAACAAAAAAAAACCTCTACATTGACTTTTGGTTTCACATGGGATATGAACACTGGCCTCCTGGATGAAAGTACAGTGCTTGTTTGACCATCCCACCCTAAGTGGATTTTCTCACTCCTTATACTACGTCACCTGGCTTCCTCCATTACTCCATTAATTACTATGGCCACTAGAGGTCACCACCTAACAAAAAACATAAATAGAGGTTGTAATTTTTACTTGTAAAAATCCCCTATGTGGTTGGACTCTAATTTTATCTCCATGGCCTAGAAATGTGCAATCAATATTTGTGAACATGAGCCACTCTCTCTCAAAGCCAGAAACGAGAGAAGTAAGACTCAAACTTGTGACGTCATATGATAAAAAGTCTGCTCCATAGACAATGACTTGGAGCCTGATTTAGTGGACCCACAGGATGTTTCTTTTTTCCTTTATATCAAAATAAGCTTTATTCTATTGCAGTGTTCTCAGTTCTGAACAGAAGATATACCCATATACTCAGAGCATTCCCCTGGCTGCTCTTGGGGGTCATCTCGAACATCTTTTCCAATTTATTGTCTATGGAGCAGCTGCAGACATTTTACTCTATGACATCTCAAATGTGAGTTTTAGCACTCCAGTTTTTAGATTTGGAAGAGAGTTGTTCATGTTCATTAATATGTTTGGACTGCCTTAGACCACAGGAATAACATGTATGAGTTTTTAAAACGGGCGTAGTTCCCCTATAAGCATGCCAGGATTCATTTGTCTTTGATGATAGCCAAATTTTGCTGATGATTACGCCTTTAAATTCAAAGAACCATAAGAATCTCATAGGGGGCAAAAACCATATTTTAATGAGCTAATCTTTCATGGCCATTAATTATGCCTGATTATGCTTACTCATTACTCTCTCATGAGTAGGTTCTGCGCCCATGCACTGTTTGAAATGATTGTGAACATCTGCATTACAGCTAATGCTAAAATCTGTCAGCATCATGTGGCTTGTAGCCTTGGACCTCAAGAACACTGAATAAGAGACACTGTGTTTAAGACACGAACCTGCTCAGGCAGTAGCAAGTGTCCCAGATAAAGATGGCACATTATGTTCCTCAGTTCAATTCAGAGGGGAGTATTTTCTGCTGGTAGACCCAGCCTCTTTGAGTAAATCTAATTTGCAGGGCTGAGGAACAGAGGCTGGAGGATAATTTAATTTACACTGCTACACTTGTCTTGGTCAGAGGTTTTCTTATAACTAATGTACCAGTGGCTGGCACCTGATAATTAGGATGATGCATCCAAGAGAGAATGTCTTAACCATAGTGACCACTGCATCAACAATCTGGCATTAAAAATCATATTATCACTTTTTTTTTTACCACCAATCTCTGGAGCAAAATAGCAGAATATATCCACCCCGAAATCTCTTAAATGTAATAGACATGAAGATTTCAACATTTAAGAGCAACATAAATGATGCATATGGCTAGGAAAGCAGATATGTAGGATTTCTTGATTGATATCAAGTCAGTTAAACAGCAATTGTTACCTCCGTATTGATAGTATTTCAGATGTGACTGTTGCGTGACAATATTTCATATTAATAAGGGATTGCTGATACAGTGTCTGAGAAATCAAGTCATTATTAATAAACATATGGCCTAGCAAGTAAAGGCATTAACTTCACTCATCTAGCATATTTGTAGTTCAGAATTATAAAGTGTAATGCAGCCCTTAAGACCAAGAAAATAAAATAACAGTAGGTAAAGGCATTTCTCCGCCACAGTCAGAGGCAACAACAACTAGTCCTGCAGGGCCTTTGATCACTTCAATTAACCCCAAGTGCTCCAGTGTAACAGTTTTACTCACACACACACATACCCAGCCACAAACACACGTGTCAAACCCACTTGCACAGAGAATGAGCCAGTATTGAAGACTGCATGACCTGTTCTTAGTGTAGATGTGATGACAACCTCAAACTGAAACACAAATCTCTGAATCATCAGAAATAACACAGGACCCTGAAAAGCATCAGGCCTGACACTAATGCAGTGTGAGTGCTGAGCTGGGCTGGGCTGAGCTGAGCTGAGCGACAGCATAGTGCAAGTGGGAACTGAACAAAAGAGGATGAGGCCTGCAAGGATTCGATTCATTGTAGTAGGGGATCAAACCTGACACACAGGAATATCTTCACCCAACAAAATATCTGACAAAAATGGATACTGTAGCAATAACCCTGATGAAAAGCCATGTTGAGCATATGGTTGAAAAGGTCTTGTATTGTCTAAGGCTCACTAAAACATCATTAAAGCCACTACTACGTAAACATGATGATTCATGACCTTCCGGTTATGCGTGCAAAGGTAAACATAAAAAATGAATGACACACCTCTGGGCAGAGCTGCAGGGAGGCATCAGGCATACTCAGTCTTCGTACAAATCCACTATTACTCGTGAAGAAGCGGTCGGCACCGCTGCCCCAGGTGCCACTGATGGGGCGTCCCGTGTTGTAGAACATGAAAGTGTCACTACCAGAGGTGGCTGTCAGGCAGGTCTTGTAGCAGTAAGTCTTTGTGAGGGAGCCATTCCCGCGCACTTCAATGTAGTGAGGCTCTACTTTAAGGTCTCTCCGAAGCACCACATTGTTATTAGGCTGTGCTCCGGCTGCACCGCCGCCTGCCCCACCAGCACTTACGCTGCTGCTCCCGCCATCTGGAGGGGGCTTCTGAGACACACAGCAAGGGGAGCAGGACCCAGGCTGGGTGCAGTAGGCATGGCAGCGAACGATGGCCAGCACCACCACAGTGACCAGGAAAACAAAGGTGGTAGCACTCAAAGCCACGATCAAGTAGAGGGTCACATTGGAGAAGAGTAGTGTGCTGTGAGGTCGGATGATCCTCTTGGGGTCAGGAGCCACTTTGGGGGGCACCTCCATGACGGCCACATTGATGGTGGCAGTGGAGGAGAGAGCAGGCTGCCCATGGTCCTTCACTACAACGGTTAAAGCGAAGGAGGTGGAGTTGTCCTCCAGGATCCTCCGAGTGGTCCTGATCTCACCAGTGTGTTCGTGCACCTTGAACAAGTCCAGGTCAGTGGCTGTCTCCAGCACGTACACCAGCCAGGCATTTGGACCAGCGTCTGCATCGTATGCCACCACTTTGGTCACCAAGGCCCCAGGCTCTGCGTTCTTTTGTACCGTTTCCAGTGAGCGTGTACCATTGCCGGGAGGGTTGACTATCAGTGGTGCATGGTCATTCTGATCCATTATGTAGATGTAGACAGTGGCAACGCGACTGAGTGGAGGAATGCCCCCATCTTGGGCTTTGACCTGGAAGTGAAACTCTCTCAGTGACTCATAGTCAAAGGCTCTTAGGGCATAAGCCTCCCCCGTATCGGCCTTCACAGACACATATGAGGTGACAGGGATGCCATGGTTGTTGTCATTGAGCACTGTGTAGGTGATGCGTGCGTTCTCTTTGATGTCTGCGTCTTGAGCTTTCACAGTACACAAAGAGGCCCCGGGGGCATTGTTCTCAGCCACATAGACAGTATATGAAGTCTGTTCAAATCGCGGTGGGTTGTCATTAACATCGGCCACATCCACCTGTATGGTCTTCTGGGAGGAAAGCGGAGGGTTTCCTCCATCCGTGGCACTCAGAGTGACATTGTAGGCATCGGTGGTCTCGCGGTCCAGGAAGGCTGAGGTAACCAGAGTGTAGTAATTTCTGAATGACTTGATCTTGAAAGGAAGGCCTGCTGGGATTTCCAAGCTCACCTGCTTGTTAGCGCCAGAGTCTCGATCAGTAACGCTAATGAGGGCCACGACCGTGTCTGCACGGGCGTCCTCCCTCACGGGGCTCGACAGAGATGACAGCACTATCTGAGGGACATTGTCATTCACATCCACCACCTCTACCACTACCTTACAGTGTGCTGCCACGGCCCCAGGGCCCTTGTCCATTGCCTGAATGTACATCTCATAGGAGTTGGTCTCTTCATAGTCAACATTGCTTCTCACTCTTATTTCTCCTGTATTGGTGTCCATGCTGAACATCTGCCTCACTCTCTCAGGAGTGTAGCTGCTGAAAGAGTAATAAACCTCTCCATTTGTGCCTTCATCCAGATCAGTGGCATTCAGTTTAATAACCAGGGTGTCTTTGGGCGAATTTTCCAACAGTTTCACCTTGTATACTGAGCTGTCGAACGTGGGGACATTGTCATTTGAGTCCAGGACCCTGACATTGATTTTAGCCGTGCCTGTTTTCTCTGGTGTCCCACCATCCACAGCACTTAAAATTAATTGGTGGTAAGGCGTCTGTTCTCGATCAACGGGCTTTTTGAGCACAAGCTCGATGTGCTTTGTGTTTAGGGAGGGTTTATTGGATACCAGCGCGAAATGGTCGTTTGTGCTGAGCTGATACATACGAACTGAATTTGACCCAATGTCTGGGTCTTGAGCGTTTTCAATCGGGTAACGAGACCCCGGCAGAGCAGATTCTGAGATTTCCAGCTGATACTCGTCTCTGGGGAACTGCGGCGCATTGTCATTGGCATCCACAATCTCCACCTCGACATGGTGCACCTCAGTGGGGTTTTCGACCAGCACCTCCAGATTAATGAGGCAGGTGCTGGATAAATCGCACAGTGCCTCCCTGTCGATCCTTTCATTGACAAGTAATTTGCCATTTTTGGGGTTGACAATCACATAGCGTTTACCGCTGTTGGAGGTTACCTTAATTTTTCGGGTGGCGAGCTTTCGAATATCCAGCCCCAAGTCATGCGCCAGATCACCGACCAGTGCCCCATTTTCGAGTTCTTCCGTAATAGAATATCGCAATTGTCCAAACGAAAGGCCACAAAATAAGGAAAATATCACAAAATAAAAAGGCACATTATTCCCTATCCAGTTGCATATCCCCGCCACAGCCATTGCAAGCTCATAGGATCCGCAGACGGATTAAACGCAGCCTTCCGCCTTTTTAGCTTGCAGTATCTTGCATCCCAGCACCTCATTAAGGTGGGCTAATTGGTCTCCCGGTAAACGAAACACAAGCGGCTCATCCATTGTGTTACCCGGCTGAGGTGAATCCTCTCCAGCGCACCCATGTTTCCTTTGTCCGTGATGCGCTTTTTTGTCTCCAATGCGCGCTGCTGACGGGTGTGTTTCCCTGCTGCTGGAGCTGTGAAATCCGTCAAGGTTGACGAAATTCGGCAAAATAAAACCGGAAAAGAGGTGTGTGTCTTTCAAAATGAAATGACACATGTGTCGCTTTTTCTCCAACAAGTTAAGTCAGCTCTCTTAGAGAAATGAAAGGAGAAACTCGGACAGGGAGCCCGAAACTGGAGAGTTCCCTCCAGTGTTTTAGTGAAGCGCTGAAATAAAGGGCTGGGAGCTATAGCTTGTCAGGGTTCCTATCAATGCCTAACTTATACTTTACAGTGTTTACCTGTTTTTCCATTATGCATAATTGCGCATTCCATTTGCTATATAAATGCCGCCTTTAATTTAGTCTCTATTGTCATGAACAATGTGCCAGATACCCGCTGTTTATGTGTTTCATTGAAAACATAGCCGCACAGTATCTGTTCATTTAAAAGGGATTTATTTTGAAAACAGCAACCGGAACTTGTGTAATTGAATATAGCTGACTTGACCTAGGAAGGACGGCATCCCACCCTAGCGCGCACTCAGACTCCAGCTCTCTCCCCTCCACTGTGGCGCAGCTCCCCTCCTCCTTCCCCACCCATTTCTCTCCTCTTATCCCTCCATAGCGATGTCGGTGTAGGGTCTGGGAGCTAATAGACGACCAACACATTAAAGCACCTCTAGAAAAAGAATGGCGGCCACATAAAACAGCCATACAAATACATGTGCGTTCAGCGACACCAGTCATTTATTCCACAAATCTCAATATCTGTGCAGCACGTGGCTGAAAAATATATGGTGAAAATGGAAAATGTAACCCGAAGATGTGGCTGCAACATTTAATTTACCGGGGTTAATGAGTGTGGACTCACTGTTGCTCATACAGGCAAGGTCAAGACTTTAATCTGCACAACATTCAGCACCAACACCTCCTCCGAAATGGAAGATATATACAATGAGCGTGGCCACATGCTGTACACGGACATATGTTTGGGGACTGGCTTATGTCTTCCTTTGTCTGTACACTGGAGTCGTAAGGATGGTTAATTTGCCGGTAGCGATTCTGCAGCGCAGCTTACCGCATGGCGAGCATTTGGGCAAGGCGCAGCAGAAAGAAAGCATTGCACTGACAATCACAACCTTCCCTCCACATGGATCACTGTCAGTGGTAGACCTCAGACTGTCAGGTCACATAATCATATTTAAGATGCCCGTGGTGGACCCCATAAAGCAGAAGTCTCATTTCCTCTCTATAGAGTACATCCCGAAGAGAAACATGATACATTATGGGGTCATATATGGGCATGGAAACCAGGAGGCGGTTACTGTGCTGTATATAGCCTAATATAAAATAAATCCATATTGTGGCTGTATTAATTAACATGCATGATTCATAACTGGGTTTTTTGCCTTGTCAGGAAGATCCAGCCTACATTACAAGATTCATTATTGTATTTCCACTTTTCAAGAATGCAACAATTCCCCCTTTTCACATGCTCCTTTACTGAATGTCTAGGAATTTGCTTTCCATCCCTTCAGCTGGCAGTCACCGAAATATCCTACATGATGACATAATGAATACATAAGCAATTGTTGTTCTTGTCCCAGAGTGTGCATGTTCTCGCAGGTGAACTTGAAGATCTAAACTATCTGCTATCTTGAGTTCTGCTCTCTAAATGTCAGTGTGTAATCAACATTTGGAGTAACACACTGACTACACTGGCTCTTGTCAGTGTGTGATTGTTCCTTTGGTCTTTTTCCTTGCAGTTCAAGATGCTTCTTGTTGTTTTTTTCTTTGTTTGAAGGTTAGTTCTTGTGTATGTTTACCATCTGTCCACCCTAATGTGTGTCTTCTGTCATTGTCTTATTCCAGAGCTTAACCAGAATAGGGGTCCTGTGTCTGCTCAAGCCAGGGCCTGGTAGGATGATTAGATCACGACTTTCGCTGCCTGGTTCAGTGTTGTTTGCTGTGTATGCACAATAAACATTTTTGGCTTTGACAGTGCTGGATCTAGCACTGGTGCTGGATTTCCCCCAAAAGTATATATTTCATTATATCATTTATATTTTTATGTGTTTGTATAATTTGTATGATTTTATAACCCCCCCCCCCCCAGTGACCCTCACCCTGGCCAGTGGCTCCTAGTGAACACTGACTCTGTGTTTTACCTTCAGCTCCAAAACATAGTTTGTTGTTGCCTAAATGCATTGTCTATTCCCTTTTTTTAAATCAGTTTTAATCCTTTAGTCTTTAATATTTAGGTCGTATCAGTGAAAAAGTGTACCTGGTGTTGCACATCAGCATATATTGCTGTTGATGTATGATGAATTAAACATCAGTGGGGAAAGTTAAGATAAAACACATACACTCTGATGACTCTTGTGGTCTAGGGTAGCATTTTATATCATGGTTAATGTCCAGTTAACCCCAGAGATAAGGTAAAAACCACTCAGTACAAAGCAGTTCTGAGGCATAATGCACTGTATCTTATGTTAAAGCGTTAATGGGAGTGGCGTTCTCAAAGATGTTGTCATCCACAGGCTCTTAGTGCACTGACTGGTTTGATGGACATAAAATCTGAAACACATACATAAGCTGTTCATCTGTTTCAGTTAGAGCAGATCTCAAGATAGTTTCTGGCTACTGTTTGTTTTATTTTGATGGCAGCTGTTCAGGCTTATATATACAAAGTGAACTTCAGTGAAGTTAATCAAAATGATCTGTTTGGTGATGAACTAACTGTTTAGCACTAATACTTACACAAACCAGGAATGAGCAGCACAGCAAGGAAAGCTTCAGGTCCAGAATGACTTCAGCACTAGGGACAGCTCCTCAGGCTCAGGCTGGCTGAGGTGACGGGATGACTGCATTATTAGCCACAACTTCTGGATAAATCTGGGTGCACTTGTATAAATACTGGCTATGTGTGCATCTGACCTGATCTGAGTCTTTGAATGTAAAATAATTATCCCATTAAACTCCTACTTTAATCAAGATCGATCTGGTGAAGATGTACTGCTTACTCTGATATGAATTATGATAATCTGTTATTTACTTATGTCAGAGTCACAAATTGTGGTGATTTAGCTCAGAATCCCATCTGGTTGTATTAGTTATATGAGGAAAATTATATATTGATGCAGTTTTGCATGCACAGCCCAGTCGAAATGTTTGCATTGTGTGTTTCTGCAAACCATGAATACATTACATTTGCATGTTTCATATGTATCATATATCACATCACCATTTCTAAAGTGACGTAGCATATGAGCTGACTTTGTCATCAGGGTGCGGAGGGGATGGTGGACCACTGCAGACCACTGCAGATCACTGTTCAAGACCAATAAACAACAAAACTGGTTGTTTTGTCGTAAGTCATCGCAGCATTTCCAGCTGCTTTTTAGTCCCAAAATGTGGGTGTTTTTAGCAACCCATGGCTGTTTTCCCAGCAGCTTCTCAGGCAACAAATGTGGGTGTTATGTGAGGGCCTCTCACAGTTAATCCTGCGGCTTTGTAGCTCTCAAACATAGGTGTTCTGTAGTGACCTCTGGCTGTTTTTCCAGCGGCTTTTCTGCCCTCAAACATGGGTGTTTCTTAATAACCTGTAGCTGTTAATCCAGCAGCTTTCGCCCCTCAACATGAGTGTTTTTTAGCAACCTGTCATTGTGTTTCCTGTGGCTTTTTAGCCCCCAAATGTGGGTGTTTCTTAGCAACCCATTGCTGATTTTCAAGCTGGGGTAGTGGCATTAATTTGTTTTTCACCGGTTGTTGTGCCTAAACCTAACCACATGATAACCACAGTATTGTTGAAATGTAACATATTAATGCATGCTCCACATAATAAAGTACAAATTTAAAAAAAAAATCCTGTAGACTGGGTTGGCATGCACACAGTAAATAATGTGACTGGACCACCCACAGTGAAGTGTTAAGAAAATCTACATAGCATTTGTGTGAAATTCTTCTGATTGAGTAAAATGTGACATCAGGGTTACAAACATCATCATGGTCTTTGCTTTCTTACAGCCATCCAAGGATGATGTACAACATCCAAAAATGCATGAAGATGAGGGTAGCACAGAATGTTCTCTATCTTGACCTATCTTTTTAGTCTGGCTTTTAATTTAACTATATCTGTTTATTTACTTTTGTTTATTAATTTAGTCTGTTTTACATTTTGGTATATGCCTGTATATACAAAGTTAGTGATTCCTGACCGTAATTCGATGAGATTTATGATGTTTCCTCAGGCCCTGTTTTTATTTGTATTGAATGATGTTACTCATGTATAGCTTTTGTCTCTGGAACTAAGTCAATCAGACTTAATTTGCAAAAGTGCTATGCAAATTAAGTCTGATTGACTGATTACAGATATGTGAATGCATTGGAATTACATTCTTTAATTTCATTGTTTACCATTAAATTTACTCGAGTTGCTACATAAGGGTTTTGGAAAATATCTGGTTGTATGTTTATCTCTAAACAGGCAACTATATGGAAACACACTGAAGGAGCCTGTGAGTCATAAAAAATGAGACTAAACAGGGATTGCTAGGTCAGTAACCATGGCCCTCTTGTGTAAAATTTGGGGTAGAGCCTAGAGATAACAACAATCATGCAGTGGCTGAATTAGCAGCCATTGCTCCATGTACCAAAAAGGAAACTGGAGGGATACTGCTGAATATGGAGTACACATAGCACACATTTTAGTTGACTAACAAGGAACAGCAGCTGTAAACTGTGCCTCGGTAAAAGCAACAAAATTATTAAAGATAAGGAATCATTACTATTTCACTGTGAGAGTGAAGCTACACCATTTTTGGCCGAAGCTTAGGGAGTCTGGGAAATCCGTCCAACACAGACAAGCAAAGTCGGTCACAACAGCTGGCAGGGCAAGGCTGTCCTGAAAGCCTTGAGCAGAATAGATCACTGGGTGAATACATCTAATGGAGGAGAGCCATAATGGCTCCTTTGAATAATCCATGCAGAGTCCGTTGGAACACTTTTAAGATGGTGTTAATCATGAAAATAATTAGTTTTATGAAATGTTTT